GTATCTGCCTCAACCTTTTCAATCCACCCAACCCCAAAAGTACTTTGAGCAGAAGAAAGTTTGAAATAGTCTGTAGGCTTTGTACTCTGTGCTACAATTTTAGGGGTACGGATGGATGGGGAGCAGCAGCAGAACCACACATGGCTGAAATAAAACAAGTGACACTGTGGTTAACGGTGGCAGAGATAAGAATGGTGTTCACCTCCACCATCTGCTTACAACCAGGCAGGTTGAGGAGGCCACAGTGGTTGAGGCCCCATCCCTGGAGGGATTTAAAAGCCGGGTTGACATAGTGCTTAGAGACATGGTTTAGTGATGGTTTTTATCAGAGTTAGGTTGATGGTTGGACTAGATGATCTGAAAGGTCCCTTCCAACCTGGACAATTCTATGATTCTATGATCTGCTTACAACCAGGCAGGTTGAGGAGACCACACTCTGCAGCAAAGGCTAAATGTCGTGGTGGGTTTTAAACATGCAGATTGCGTGAGGTTACACTTACATATTGCAACTTTCTCACATTGACTGTCATTTGTTTAGAAGAAATTTGGAATTCTTCACTTCTGGATGTGTGGGTATGGACAGTGGGAGTAATTCTATTTCACTGCAGCATTTTTATCTATGGAACTCAAAGCAGTTTAAAAATTTCAGCTCACAATTGTTTGTGCTGTTTTACCAGGGAAGGAAAAAGCTGATGTGTAGAATTTATTTAGCCACGTGTGAAAGCTTAGTTGCTTTCAGTCAACCTGTTGACTTCATGTGCTTAAAAATGAGACATTTGTTTAAGTGCTGTAGCTTGTCATGGCTTATGTGCCCAAGGGTACCCAGGAGAAGTCAGAAATAACACCCAGGTCAGTTGACTTTCCAGCTCCTTGACAAAGCTTAGTTGCTTTCAGTCAACCTGTTGACTTCATGTGCTTAAAAATGAGACATTTGTTTAAGTGCTGTAGCTTGTCATGGCTTATGTGCCCAAGGATACCCAGGAGGTTGGTGGAGAAGTCAGGAGTAACACCTAGGTCAGTTGACTTTCCAGCTCCTTGATGTAGCACCCCTCCACCCAAAGGTTGTTACCCCAATGGTGACAGGCAACCAAAAAGCTAAAACTGAGGCCAATAGGGAGGGCAAAACCAGAAACCAAACTCCTTTTCCCCCTCTAAAAATCTCTCCTTATTTTTACTGATATGCATGGATTCCTGGTGCAGTGTTCAGCCTCTCTTGATGGCTGTCACCTACAGAGAATTCTGTGAGGAAACATGGTTCCACAAAGCTCTGAAGTCCCCATCTCCTGCATTGCTTTCTTCTTCCCTGCCCTGGGCACACAACCCCTGCCTGTGTATGGTTTCCTTTCTTTTTTCCCTCTAACCCGTGGAAGAATCCTCATTCTTATTTCTCTTTGCTGTCAATAAACTTCTTTGTCTGATTAATGAGCAAACTATGTCTTAGCTTTGCTGTTCCCTTGCCTTTCTTTCCAGCTTAGCTTGACAATGTGTTATCTGCATAATGCCAAGTGGGCTCTGGTGTTAGATAGTGTCCTCCATGTGCTCCACGTGCCAGGATTTGATGGAGCAGGGAGCTGGGTGCTGGCAGGGTGGCAAATAGAGCAGGTGAGCACAAAAGCTGTTGCGCACTTGGCTATCGCTTACACGCCGCTCTGGGTGCTGTGAGTTGGTTAATGAAGAGAAGAGGATTTTGCCTGAATATTAGCTGCTGCAGCACTCCCAGAGGATCCTGATCTTCTGATTCAGCAGAGACTAGATGGCAAATACTCAATAGTGTGTTTATGCAACTTCTATCCACGATTTTTGGAGAAGAGAAGGCTGAAGACCTTATTAATGATTCCAAGTATCTAAAGGGTGGGTTGAAGGAGGATGGAGCCGGACTCTTTTCTGTGGTTCCCAGTGACAGGACAAGGGGCAACGGGCACAAGCTGGACCAGGGGAAGTTCCACTGCAATGGGAGGAAGAACTTCTTTGGGGTGAGGGTGGCAGAGCCCTGAAAGAGACTGCCCAGAGAGGATGTGGAGTCCCCTTTTCTGGAGATCTTCAAGCCCCACCTGGATGCCATCCTGAGTGATGTGCTCTGGGCAGCCCTGCTTTGGCAGGGGGTTGGACTGGATGGTCTCTAGAAGGTCCCTTCCAACTCTGACGATTCCGTAATTCCATGATTCTCAAAGCACCCAGTAAGTATTGCTTCAGAGGAATTCTGTGCTCCACGCATGAGAAATGGTAACACGTGGAGAAGGTGTTAGTCCACCTTCAGTGGTAATTGGTTTTCCAGCTTCCTGAATGCTTCATTTTAGGAAAAAAGAAAAGCAGGTCAAGAAGCTGGAATTTGTAGACAGATTTGTAGACTTTTCTGAGAATTCATGGACTGCTTATGAAAATCTGGCATCCAGTGAAGCCCAAGATTTCAGAAGGAAGTAGGCTGTGAAGAGGAACCCGTCGTCTATTGATTAGACTGTAGTTCCTCTCTGGAATAAGGAAGCTGGAGTTACACTGAAACTCAACTGTGTCTATATTTATGCTCCTTTGTGTTTTATTTCCAAAGGAAGCTCACCAAAGTACTGAACTGTTACGTGGGAAACGCTGATGACTCCAGCAAGACAGAGTTGCTGTTTGCTGCTCTGAAAGCCTTGAAGTACCTGTTCCGATTCATCGTTCAGTCACGAATATTGTACCTGAGGTAAGGCCAAGGCCGTTGCCATCCTCATGGCTCCTTTTGGAAGTCAATGGAGTTCCTTCCTCTCAGCACCACTGGGGGGAATGTTCTTTAGCATGTCCTCTATCCTTGAATTATTAAAAGTATTTTTCTACCCTCTGTCTATGGGTGGAGAAAACAAGTTGAGTAAAAATTGAAATACCTAAATTGAAGAGGAGAATCCTTTTAGTCACCTGTAGCATGCTAGAAGCAGCATATGGTAGTGCTGAGAAGGAACCTGTTACTTGTTAAAAAAATTAATGCATGGAGTGACTTCCCCATTTTAAGAAATTTTAAGAAACAAATGCACACGTGGTTAATTGTTAGGTGGGGTGAGGTTGATGCATCCAGTTCGGGCATGGTCAATGGTTAATTGTTAGGTGGGGTGAGGTTGATGTGTCCAGTTAGGGCATGGTCAGTGACAGCAGTTTTACTGTAGCCTCAAAACATGTTTTCAGAGATTTACAGTGACTGTTTGGAATCCTTTCCTCATCTTCTTTCTGGCTTTTTTGTTTAATACAGAATGAGCTACTTGATTTTTGGAAGCAGAATTTGATGCAATGGCAATTTAAGAAGTGCAGCTTTTCCTTTAGAAGAGATTTCAGCAGGAAATTGCTGCAGAATCCTCAATGCCATTTTTACACTCAAGTCTTTGTAGAAGGAGATTGCATTAAGATGTTGTTCCACAGGATAAAATCATATTTCAGCTACTGTGACACTGTTAGCCTGGATTTATGTGTATAACTAGCTCTTTCTGTTCTTTGTAGGTTTTATGGGAAAAGTGAAGATGGGGATGAATTTAATGATGCAATACGCAAGCTGTTCCTCTCCTTCAACGTCCTCATGGACCGGCCTTTGGAGGAGGCTGTGAAGATTAAGGTATGCATCATTTTCAGGGAGAGGTAATATCTTTTATTAGATCAACTGGTACAGTTGGAGTTAGGGGGGAGGCAGAAAAAGGGCAAGCTTTGAGGCACGTAAAACCCGTTCAGATGAGTCACGCCACCCCTGGATGTCTGTTTCAATGAACTGTGTGTGACAGGAAAGGAATATTTAAACCTCAGACTTTCTTTGTAGGTTTTATGGGAAAAGTGAAGATGGGGATGAATTTAATGATGCAATACGCAAGCTGTTCCTCTCCTTCAACGTCCTCATGGACCGGCCTTTGGAGGAGGCTGTGAAGATTAAGGTATGCATCATTTTCAGGGAGAGGTAATATCTTTTATTAGATCAACTGGTACAGTTGGAGTTAGGGGGGAGGCAGAAAAAGGGCAAGCTTTGAGGCACGTAAAACCCGTTCAGATGAGTCACGCCACCCCTGGATGTCTGTTTCAATGAACTGTGCGTGGCAGGAAAGGAATATTTAAACCTCAGAGTTTATCAAATAAAGATATGAGAGCTGTGGCTTCGCTGAAAACCCTTCAGCACTTGCTAGTATGGGAGCTAACAACCGGTGGAGATGTGATCTACTGCAGTGTGGGACACACTCCAACCAGTAACATCGAGCTTGAGGGTGTTGGAGGTAGAAATCTTAAACCGCTGCAAAAATCGATGTCATGCTGGCAAGGAAAGTAATGAAGAAACAAATGATTTCCAAAGGTATCTTAGATTTTATGTTTGCTTGTTTTTTCTGGTGTCAGCTGGATTATGAACTTTCAGGGTATGCTCTGAGGAGGAGCAGAGCAGCCATGCAACGAGGCCTTTGGATTGTTTTTTTCATTTCAGGTCTTCTAGCCAACATGCTTTTCTCTCTTTGAAGGAAAGATAGATTCTGAACTTTTAATTAGCACTTGGGTGATTTAAAGTCTAACTTTGATCCAGTCAGAGTACCTGCTGGCCCCAGCCATGAAGCATCACAGAGAGACCTTTGCATCTAATTGTTTGGGTGCTACATTTCTGAAAGCCATACTAGTTCCTAGATAACTCGTTACTCGTGGACACGCTGAAGTATGTGCAACACCGAGTCAATTTAACTGACTGGTGCTTTTCATGGCAGGCCATGAGGAGCTTAATCCCCGGAACTGCAGGATGTTTGCAAAAACTAAAGAACTTGGCTGTGAATCCTTCCTCCTTCACCTTTTCTGCTCTGCGCAGCAGATGTGTAGTTGCTGGAGGCTCTTTGGATGTATAAATTCGATCTTAAGCCAGTTCTCTGCAGGTGTCTGCCTATTTGCTCTTGACAAAAGCTAGGTTTGCCATGTGAGCTATGGGCATTGTTCTTGAGACTTTGCACCATTTTAGAATAAACTAACTCATCTAACTCCATTTCCATGTGTGTTTCATGTCCTTGTTGTTTTTCTTGCAGGGTGCAGCTTTAAAGTATTTGCCAAGCATCATAAACGATGTCAAACTGGTATTTGACCCTGTTGAGCTCAGGTAACCATATTAAGTTTGTTTATTCTCTAAACCCAGCTCATATATAGGGAAGAATTCAGGAAACTTTCCTAAAAACACCAATCATGACCTGATGATGCATGTACTTTGAGGAAGCTCTTGCAGGGCTTTAGAGGAAGTCGGTTTAATTCAAAGGAGTCTGTGCATCTCAACTGCTCTTTTGTAGGCGTTCTGAGATTTTACTGAGAACAAAAATTTGAGGACTGAGGAGTGAGATGTTGAAATTTTTTGCAGGTTTCCACCAATTCTTAATGATTGCTTCTGAGGTAAAGTGAATTGTGCGACGAAGGCATAGCCTTGGTCAGGAAAACAGAAGTTGTATTTATTCAGGAAATACACAGCACTGTGTGGGTTTCTGTTCTGTGGTGTGGAGAGCTTTGCCCAGAACCTCCCAACCATGCCTCCTTGTTCTGACACAAATGATTTGCTCATAAACAGCAGACAGACAGCAAATGTACATGGAATTGAATTTAATGGAATCTCAGATTGAAATGAGTCATCACTCTTGATGAAAGGGGCATCTGGAAGCAGACACACTGTATCTAGCAGTGTTCCAGGTTGCAGTAGTGGTCTGCTGAACCTTTGCAAAATTCTGCCTTCATTTTGTATGGAAGTAAATGTGATTGTCTTACACTGGCACTGGAGGGCAGGTAGTATTGTCTCTTTATAAGCTTTTGTGTTACATCTAGCGTGTCTTGGGTTGCAAGCTTCATTTTAAGAGGTTTAAACCTGCAGTTTCTGAGCACTGTTTGGTTTTACTAGAAGTCCTGTGCTAAGTTTCTTGTAAATAATTTAGGACTCCATAGTAATTTTCCCAGAGATGGCTTCCAGGTAATACCCACCCAGTGACAGAACTGCTTGGCTCGCCCGGGTGCAGGACAGTGTTAGAGCAGGATGGAATCATGTTGGGTGAAAATGCTGACCCTCTGCTTGCTTTGTGGTTTGCACACCAGTGTCCTCTTCACCAAGTTCATCCAGAGTATTCCCGAGAACCAGTTGGTTCGACAGAAGCTGAACTGCATGACCAAGATAGTCGAGAGCGATCTGTTTAAACAGTCTGGTAAGTGGCAGATTGAACTGTCTGGGTTCTGCACGGGGCCACACACCCTTAAAAACAAAAAGGTCTTTCAAGTTCACATGTGCTTTACATCAGCCATCAGGGGTAGTCTACTGGTAAAGCCATCTTTGGAAATGTTTCTTCCCATGGAACAATTGAAATGATTTTTGCTGCTCGTTCTCTATACAATGGTTGATACTGGGGAATCCTGATCCTGATTTAGGAAGAGGCAGGAGGTGCGAGTGTGCTACTTGGTATTTGCTGCTCGTTCTCTATACAATGGTTGATGCTGTGGAATCCTGATCCAGTGTGTTGATTTAGGAAGAGGCAGGAGGTGAGAATGCACTGTTTGGTGCAATACATATAATTACAGATTATTTATGAGTATCTTTAATTTTTTAGTGGTAACTCAAGTGCGTGTTTTGGTGTCCAAGATAAAGTTATAAGTCAAAAGCATCTTTAATTTTTTAGTGGTAACTCAAGTGCATGTTTTGGTGTCCAAGATAAAGTTAAAAGTTACTGTGTGGTACCCATGTATACTGAATGCTGGAGAACTTTGAAATGAACAAGACATGATGTTCTGTTTCATTTTTGTAGAATGCAGAGATGCTCTTCTGCCACTGTTGATCGATCAGCTGAGTGGCCAGTTGGATGACAATTCAAACAAGCCTGACCACGAGGCCTGCTCACAACTGCTTAGCAGTGTTCTTGAGGTCCTGGATCGGAAAGATGTGGTGAGCATGAATTACTGAGTGTGCAAATTAAGGTTAATTCTTCTTTTGAGAAGTTAAGGCAAAGAAACATTCTCACTTATGCTTTGAAGAATGACGAAGCTCTGACGTTTGCAGAAATTGGGTTGCATTGTTGTATAGTTCTTTGAATCTCTTTACACATAAAGCAGTTGTGTCTAAAAAGAGCCATGAAAGGTTGAATTTGTGGTTATCGCTACAGTACAAAAAGCAATTACTTTCCTTTCTAGGGACCAAAATGTTATTCCTGGCTACTTTGGTGGCTTGTTGGAGCAAATCATAAAAGTATTTGGTTTCTCATTTTCTCTGCTCTGAAACAGGGACAACAATCATTATTCAGTCAGGAGAACACAGTTACTTGCCATGTTAGCCATGGAAATTGATTCTAAGTTGCTGTAAAAAGAGTAGTTTGAATTGAAGAGCTGTTCAGGGAAAACAAAGCCAAATGAAAGCACCAGCTTCAGTTTAGCTATGCCAGGATGGACTAATGAAGCTGGTGTAGATCAATTATGTTAATTCTGCGCTAAGTGTATACCTACAGTATTCGAATCGATTGCCCGTGTGTTTTAAACCTCCTTTTTTTGCATCCTCTAATAACAATTAACCGCTGTCAGGGCAGCCCTCCCACCCAGGGAGCACTCTCTAGAGCAGTGTACATTACGAAGTGTCTCAAATTTTCCTTATTGAATGTCCCCAGGGACCCACTGCCGTCCACATCCAGCTGATCATGGAGCGCCTGCTGAGGAGGATAAACCGCACGGTGATAGGCATGAGCAGACAGTCTCCGCACATCGTGAGCGCCTTTCACTCGCTTCAGTTATTGCTTTGCCATTTGTTAGAGTGGAATTTGTTCTCCTGGGAGATTTCAGTGTGTAGCAGTGGCTTATGAAATCATCTTTCCGCTTCCTGCGGGGCTTCGGTGCCACTAAAACATGGCTTTTGGTGGTTTGCTGAGGCCAGGTATTAGGATACAAATTGTCCTCTCGCAGCAGCGGTTTGAACTGAGTCACAGCTGGCTGGGATTTCAAGTTCCTTTGGGCCCTCGTGCACAGAGAATTTGGTTTCAGTGCAGTTTCTAATGCACAAGGAGTCTCTCTTGTCACCTGGGCTGACTAGGATTAAAAGCTGAAGGGCTGAGGCATCTCTAAGGGGCATTTCTGACTGTGGTGTGGCATCCTAGAAGGTAGAAGCAAGTTGGGATGTTTTAATTAGCCATGTACAGAAAGATGGAAAAAACAAGAGCTAGGTGTATATAGCAATATCTTACTTTTTATAACTCTAAGGTCAAGTTAATACTATTACCAGTATGTTAGCTGTGAGAATTACAGTTGACCATAGTGATCCCTGGGGAGAAGGAGAGCTATACCCATAGCTTCATAGTTGGAATTTAGGAAATCTCAACTGGCTTGGGGTAGAGGACTAAACAGTCACACACACTGGTGTCAGGACATAGAAGAGCAGAACTGTGATCAGTGATATTTGATTAGGCAGAACTCTCAAAGCATATGCCACACTTCCATCTGATCTGACAGTGCTTAAATACAGAAAAATAACTAATGTTTTGTTTTTCCTATTCTAGGGTATCTTTGTGGCCTGCATGACAGCCATCCTGAGGCAGATGGAGGATTTCCATTACAACCATTACATCAATACTTTCAAAACCAGGCAGGACATTGTTGTAAGTCAGCCTGGCTGGGGGATTAGCTCAGCCCATAAAGAATTACGCTCTGCTTCTGAAAGGTCATTTCAAATTACCGTGTTCAGTTTGGGAGTGATTATGCTGCATTCATCAGCAATGACTGATGGGCATCTCATGCCACAGGCACTGGGGAGATACTGGCATCACCCAGGCTGGGTGTCCACAGGGGATGTTGCTGACTCAGAGCCCAAGAATAGCGTTTGTAGCATTGAGTAAAAACACATTCAATGACTATTAAAGTCTGTGCAAGTAAAAAGCCTGGACTAGAAGAGTGAATGAAGATGAAAAGGAAAAGCATTTTCCTCTCTTTTGCTCTCACTGTATCTCTTCGTGATCCTGGTCTTTTTATCTACTTCTTTCTAATTCATTCTCCTCCTCTAGAGTATAATTAGATGCTTTAGTGACCAGCAATGAAAATAGTTTCCTCCATGTTAAAAACTGTACAATTCACGTCCCCAGCTCTTCGTGATCCTGGTCTTTTTATCTACTTTCTAATTCATTCTCCTCCTCTGGAGTTTAATTAGATGCTTTAGTGAGCAGCAATGAAAATAGTTCCCTCCATGTTAAAAACTGTACAATTCATGTCCCCAAAGACTTTCAATATGAAACCAGGTGAAACTTTAGGGTTTTGTTTTATTGAGGCCCTTAGAATGAACAGCTCTGTCCAGATTTTTCCCCAGACTACCTAGAACAAGTCAGAACCAAAATCAGTAATTATGCAAGTCTCTGAAGCGTGACACAGCAACTCTTCTACCTTTTTTTGTCCCCATACTCCTTGTTTTGCAGTTTAGAAGTGCTTGGTCATTTAAATACTGGCTGGGGAAGAGCCCGGAGTTGTGTTCTTCCTGTAAAAGCTGGATCCAAACCCACAGGAAGGTGTTTGTGGTTCGTTTTGGATGACAAGGTGATCTTTTTCCCTGTGTGGCTGGAATTGCTTGTGATCTGTTGAGCAACATAGCCACCTACAGGACACACACTGCTGTCATCTCTGCTTTCAAAGGCCACTCAGCTGCACTGTCTATAGAGAGCACTCATCATCTAGTTTTAGAGCTGCTTTCTGCATTCCCCAAATCACTTTTTGTAAAGGAAGAAAAACAAAAGTCAAGTAGATTCAGGAATTCTGCTGGTGTTGATCATGTAAATGAGTGAAAAGCTTTTCAGCAGGGTTGTGTAGCAATACTGTGTCTGAGGAAGAAGGGTGTTAGGAAGACAAATCTAATGGATTTGGAAAAAAAGTTTGATTCAAGGCAGAATTGAAGTAAACTTTATGTTGAGTGGCCTCATTTCAGAATTTTTATCCTTTTTTCTGAAGAGCAGTAGAGCTACTAGGAGCCCATCGTAACTTAAGGTTAAACAGGTGCTTAAAAGCTTTTTTGAAGTATAAACTTCAGATTGAAGCTTAGCTTGCAAGTTGGAATTGTTTTACATGTTCTGACTCAATATAGTTCTACATGTTCTGACTCAAAGAGGAAGATGTTTCTTTTATCTTTGTGTGTACATGAAGTTTCTACATGAAGACAGAGCAAAAGGATGAATGAAAATGCCAATTCATAATCTAATTTTTACAAATCCTTAAATCTACAGAAGCAAGCAATTTGTGGTGATGTAGTAGTTTTTAATACCGGTAGAACATTGCATTTTTCATTACTGCAATAATCGGGTTTATTTGGTTTCGTTGTTTACTGTTGGTTTTCATTTGCTTTGGTATTTACAGCCCTGGCATTGCATCATTACTTGGTTGGTTTAACATGGTTATAAGTTAATTCATATCTTCAAGGTGCCCCTTGTCAAGTCCAAACCTTTCCATCAAGCTCTGATTTAATAATGCCTAAAAGACTTTTACTGAGGCAGCACCAAATGCCCATTTCTCTCTCTCCATCGATGTCGCTTGCCAATTCTTCAGAGCAAGCTGTTCAGCTCAACAGAATTGTATTATTATTTTTTTTTGGTGATCTTTGCAAGGTGGCGATCTCTCCTGTGACCTTCTTTGTGTCCCCCTCATTTTTGAATGCTAATGTGCTGTCTTTGTAGAGAATAGAATCCATTTAAATCCTCCTAGGGAGCATTCATATCTGCAGAGACCACAATATAGAGATCAATACTCTTGGTGTTACCTTCTTTTGCTCATTTCTCTTTTTCCTTTTCCTTTTTTCTTTAGAACCTTCCCTTGCCCAGGTGTTGGTGTGATAGAGCTTTGTTTGGAGCAGTTTAGTGTTTGTGCAAAAAGTGTCTTTTCTACAGTAATGTTCTAAACCCTGTGTCTGATGGCGTGTTCACTACCTCTGTGTAACTCTCCTGCTTAAACTGGACCAGAAAAAGCTTAACTAATCAGGGAAGTGAAAATACATTATCATTTCCATCTTTATAGATGATACTGCACGGGGCTGTTACGCTGCTGTCATTCAGACATTTGGAAACCAGTCCTTGAATGTTGGGTTTGCTTTTTTAATCCAGCTTGTGCACCAGAACTCCCTACAACGCAGCTTAATTCAAAACAGTAAAGACAGATTTAATTAAACAGATCAACATGTTCTGTGGAATTATTTCTCCTTCTGTAACTGAATGGATGAGATGTCAGAAATAATTTAGTTACTGGAATATACCCACACAATAAGAGATCCTTCTTAGGAGGTACAGTGCATCGATTGCTAATCAATGCAGTCGTTAATCAATGCAATTGCAAACATTTGCATTTCCCTGTAGTTTCACGTGGGTAAAAGACTGCCATATTCAACCTGATGGGCTGTGGTTTTTGTTTTTCCAACAGGACTTCCTGATGGAAACATTCATTATGTTTAAGGATCTGATTGGAAAGAATGTCTATGCAGCTGACTGGATGGTGATGAATATGATGCAGAGCAGGTACAGAGTTGCTGCTGTTTGAAGTCTTGCTGCTGCTTCGGAGCCTTTCTGGTTCTGAAAGGAGGGTGACTCACACAAGCAGGCCTGCAAATCACTGGAGTTACAGGGGCTTATTTTCTTTTCAGTTTCTGAGCAATTTAAATTAGATTTCAGTAAATTGTAGTGCGTTGCTGTTGATGGACTGGAAATGATTTTTTCTCCTGCCCAAAGGCACACAATGAAAACCATCCAGTCTTCCATCCAGTCACTTACCTGCTGGAGAATGCAGTGTAAATCAGAGATGCATTTTTGGCTTCAATTCTTGGGGAATCACATGGCAGACATAAAGCCAGAGTTGAACAGAAGTGTGGTGTAGGGTTTAGTGTGCTGGCCTGTAGACAAGAACTACCCAGGTCCATTCTGTCCTCTGCTGTGGGTTTTGTTTGGCCTTGACACCGCACTGTCAGAGATTGGGTGACCCAAAAAGTGTTTTGTTTTTCATCTGCCTTCAGCCAAGGTTTCTTTTGTTCAGAAACAGAGGAGTAGCTTTCCCTGGATGTCCCTCTACTGGGAGGGAGGTGAAATGGCATTATAGAGAAATATCTCCTGTTTGGGAACATCGATTCTTGTCTCCTGACCTTACATGTAGGAGTCATAAACTCAGAACCACAATGTAATTTTTTTCAAAACCCACATTTTATTTGATATTTCTGTCTCTTCCAGGGTTTTCCTCCGGGCAGTGAATCAATTTACATCTGTACTCAACCGGTTCTTTCTGGATCAAGCAAATTTTGAACTCCAGGTAATAGTTCCGTTGTTTCTAGATTGTCCTACGGACCCCAGTCCTGAAAGGCAGGAAGAACAAACAAACAAATCCCACGATTAATGGATTTGGTGATATGGATCATGCTCATGGAAAATGCCCATCATCTTCTGCAGCAAAGCTGTTGTGAATCACAGAGCTGTGATTAGGGCAGCAATAAGTTACAAGCAGATAGAGCTGCTGCAGGCTTTACAAGGTCGCGTTGAGCAGTGCGCTGACTACAGCTGATTTGTGCCTGATTAGTTAAGAACAGAATACCAAATGGGTGCACTCACTGTCACTTCCTTTACTTGGAAAGTACAAGCTAAAAAAGAGTGAGAAATGTTAAGTTTCTGTGTGGTTCTGGCTTCCCTGCTACGGCTGGGAACACAGATCGTTCGGTTGGTACGCTTCCTCGTTAACACCCGGGAGACTACGGCATTTGGGGTAGTGTTATTGCTTTTCCTTTGTCTTCTCCTATTTTAGACTTGTTTCTCTTCCACAGCTCTGGAATAACTATTTCCATTTGGCAGTGGCCTTTCTCACTCATGAATCCCTCCAGCTGGAGACCTTCTCACAAGCCAAACGCAACAAAATTATCAAGAAGTAAGTTTACATTTAAAAAGCTGCCAGGCCTTTCTGCTTTTAAGAAATTTTTTCTGTTCCAGCCATACCCTGAACAATCTCAGAATGAGATGAAACACATCATGGAAGTGCTTGATTAATGAGTGGTGATAAAGGGAGGAGAGGTGACTAGGACAGACGTCAGGTCTTCACACTGTGGCTAAGTCTGGTCAGACAGATCCTGAGCTCAATTTAAGCACCTTGGCAAAAGATTCTTTCCACTGTAAGGTCTGTAAGAGAAGGTTTGCAGTAGTTCCCAGAGCGATACCTTATGCAGTTCCTCAGCCATTGTGTAAGGCAGGGAAGCAAAAATCCTAAAAGCCCTGCAACTTTTCAATCCCCTCTCTTTGCTTTTTCAGTTTTGAAGGTAAGAGCACAAAAGCCAAAAGTAGTAACTTTTAATAACTTGGCCAAACTCACAAAGATACAGAACAATTTTTACTTCTGCCCTGTGCTGGAATCAAGTGTCTAAATGTTTTTGTAGATCTTGACATAGACTTTTGTTGGGGCATTCGCAGTTAATGTTTGCCATCTTTTTTCTGCAATAACGAAGGCTTTTAGAAGCTGGGTAATGAAATATTCTTGCATTTTCTCAATGTCAGCAGTTAAAGCTTTAGGGAAAAACACCAAATACAAAGAATTCTGGGAAGGTTTGCAGGAAGCAGCAGGACTGCAGCTCTATTCTGCTGTCGGGGAGTCTGCAGTCTTCTGCCGCAATGGCACGTGGGCATTCTTCCTCCATGCATTGAGTGTTAGTGCTGGGCAGGGAAAGGAAGGAAAAAAGATGAGTTGAACATCTAACAAAAGCTCTGTAATAGTGAGGAACTTCTTGGTAGACCCTTAGTAGAGAAGACAATCTGTGAGACCGCTTGATATAAAAACCCAGCGCGTTCAGGTTTGTGTGTGGTGTTTGTTTTAAGGAGAGAGTAACAGATTTTGTAGTTTTGTCATTGAATTTTTTCAGCAGCTTTGCAAAAGTAGCTTCAGTGCGTAGACCTCTCTCATCTTTTTCTTTCTAATACTTTTTTCTAGGTATGGGGACATGAGGAAAGAAATTGGCTTCAAAATAAGGGATATGTGGTATAATCTAGGTGAGTTCCAGTTAAAGAATTATCGTTATCCAAGCTCTCAAACTGGGTTTCAGATCCTTTTATTTCTTTATAAAAGCTGCTCATGTTTAATGTGGGGGAATACACTTAAGGTTCAGCTGTTTCAGAGCACAAAATCTCTTTTCCTTTTTTGTAAATAGCTTGCAAAAGCAGATCTTTTCTCTCATCAGCTGCCGAGATAATTTCTTAGATTGCTTATGAAGGATGTTCTACCATATGAAGGACAAGAGCAGAATTTTTCAGAGAAACTTTGTGATTTGCAACATTGCGTACAATTCGGTTCAGTTCTTTTCTTGAACTATTTCTGAGTTTTGGAGCTGTGACATGTTAATTCTATCCAAATCCTGCCGTTAGGATGTAGCCAACCTTGACTTTCTTGCAGGTCCCCACAAAATAAAATTCATTCCAGCCATGGTAGGACCCATCCTGGAGGTAACCCTGGTCCCTGAGCCTGAGCTCCGGAAAGCTACAATTCCCATCTTCTTTGACATGATGCAGTGCGAGTTTAACTTCAGTGGGAACAGAAACTTCCACATGGTAAGGGAGCTTGGGATCTTCGGGACTGATATTGGGAGGAGAAGAGAACATTTAAACAAAACCAAAAGAAACCAAGAAAAAACCCCACAAAACAAGCATTGTGCCAAACACTTTAGGAAGTTATCGTTAAGTGGTTTGTAGGAGTCAGGACTCTTTAGTTATGTCCCTGACTGTACCTTTGCATGATGTTGATAATTAATGAATTCCTCTGTTTTCACACCTTTCTGCATTTGCAGATGTGTAAATAACCACATCTGTATTCTGAAGCAATTTGGAGACCTTAAGGAGGGTACTCTAAAAAGTAATGTCTTTATGTTTTTAATAGCAATATAAATTCCCCCAAGGCAGATCTTTGGCTGTGCATGGAAGTCACTATAAGGAAAATCACTGGACAGTCGAGTGTTAGGACTAAGTAGTTGCTTAGATATTGACTAGTCCTTCATTAACTTCGAATTTGACAGCCCATTTGTGAATACTGATGGCACCATTATGGAAATGAGGACAGTGATACAAAGGACAGACAAGATTTGCTTGAGGCTACACAAGGAAAAGGACAGAGCAGGGAACAGGACAGGGATCCCTGAGTTCCAGCCCTGTGCTAATTTCTCCAGAACTTACCTTTTGTTGCTACCGAGAAAGCCCCAGAAAGTAAGGAAGGAAAAAAGAGGAGCTTCATTTTTGCCCTGAGGTTAAGTTTTCATTGCAGTTTCTAAGGACTTATTCTTCCAGCTTTCCTCTGGGGACATCGGACATTAACATCTCAGCTGGCAGGCAGGGGACACTGCAGCTCTGCTGTAGACAGTCTTCTCCCTGGAGATGGGTAGGAGCCATCCATCCAAAAGGCAGCCACCTTGGCATTTCAGACTGTTGTCAAATGTGACGTGCGTCTCCCCAAGCACCATCCTCACACCAGCTCAGCCCCAGCTCCAGTGTGCATATGGGAGCTTTCTTCCCTTGGGGTCATCAGTCTTTGGTGTGGGTGGCGTTTCGGAGTCGGTAGAAGGCAGCAGGATGTGTGTGGCATGGATTTTCCATTCCAGTGGCATTTATACACCAGCTGCAGTTATAACTGAGACTGTGTGCTTGATCTGCTTGCACATAACAGGGCATATCTTCATGACTAGACAGATAATCACCCAGGATTTGGTTCTTGCATCATGAGAAGTTGCTTTAATTACTAGTCATGAGTGTTTATGATGGCCAGAGAGCTGTGACTTGCCCTTAACTAATGGTAGTAGTTGAGTTTCTTTAGAGTGAGTGAATGACCATGGTATCTGTGAGCTGCAATGCATCTCCATCCCAGCAAAACCAAACAGCTAATTGATGGGGGAGAAGGGGAAGAATTACCCCAGAGCATGATTTCTAGTGACTGTAGGATGACAGAGGGAGGACTTGTATTTCCTTGCTCCAATCTTGTCATCTTGGCTTCTTACCGTTTTCATTCTGCTCCAACAATGAAAACATCCTCTACCTTGGCCCAGAAAACCGGTGTCTGATGGGGGGCAGTTCAGAAGCACCAGCCACAAGCATGACTGATGGTCAGACCACACTCCTGAGAGCTGCTGTCTATTTCAGTGTGGTTTTTTTGCCTTTTCAGTTTGAAAATGAGTTGATAACCAAGCTGGACCAGGAAGTGGAGGGTGGCCGAGGGGACGAACAGTACAAGATTTTGCTGGAGAAACTGTAAGTTTTATAAAGAACATGGAGGCTCTTTTTTACAGCTTAGTTGGCTATTTTTGTAATGCAGAGAAACCCTAATTTCAGCGAATTCACTCCAGTGAATAGGGAAACAGCGCAGTCAACAGTGATGTTAATACTATACAGGTATTTTGAGACTGATTGCCTTAAAATGATGCTTTTATTCTGGAGCAGCAACTCGCACAACTACCCTGAACTTGGAGATGAAAGCCCAGAGGCAGGTGCCAAACTGGCAAGGGGGTTGCAAGTGGAAAAGCTTGAGAGTTAAAGCAAAATCAGAGCCTTCTTTTAGCTCCAAGAGTAGAACAGTCTTTGATCAAGGCAGGCTTTGACCTGCCTGACGTGGGTGTCTCAGGTCTGTGACTGTTCTGCACTGAGTCTGTTCTGGAAGAATAGTTGTCCCTGCTGGCTGGTGGCTCTTTGGGTTATTTCACTGAATTTCACTGAATTTTTTTAGAGTTGGAAGGGACCATAGAGATCATCTAGTCCCACTCCCCTGCTGAAGCAGGATTGCCCAGAGCTAGAGCATGTTACTCAGGAGCATCCAGGCGGGTCTTGAAAATCTCCAAGGAAGGGGACTCCACACCCTCCCTGGGCAGCCTGTTCCAGGGCTCCGTCACCCTCACCGTGAAGAAGTTTCTCCTCATATTTGAGTGGAACCTCTTCTGTTCCAACTTGTGCCCGTTGCCCCTCGTCCTCTCACTGGGAACCCCTGAAAAGAGTCTGGCTCCCTCCTCCCTCAGCCTGCCCTTGAGATACTTGTAGGAATTGATAAGGTCTCCCCTCAGCCTTCTCTTCTCCAGACTAAAGAGTCCCAGCTCTCTTAGTCTCTCCTCATAAGGGAGATGCTCCAATCCTTGAATCATCTTTGTTGCCCTTCGCTGGACTCTTTCTAGTAGTTCCCTGTCCCTCTTGAACTGGGGAGCCCAGAACTGGATGGAGTACTCCAGTTGTGGCCTCACCAGTGCAGAGTAGAGGGGGAGAATGACCTCCCTTGACCTGCTGGCCACACTCTTCCCTATGCAACCCAAGATACCGTTGGCCTTCCTGGCCACAAGAGCACACTGTTTACTCATTGTCATTTTACTGTCCACCAGGACCCCTAGATCTTTCTCTTCAGTAGTTGCCTCTAGCAGGTCCACCCCTAACCTGTACTGGTACCTGACATTTTTCTTCCCCAGGTGCAGGACCCTACAATTTACACTGAATTTCTCCTTATCACTGCTCGGAACTATAACTCAATATTCCTCCTGTCTCTCTGGGTACACCTGCAGGCTCCTGGAGCACTGTCGGAAGCATAAATATCTGTCTGCTTCTGGAGAGGTGTTTGCTTTGCTGGTCAGCAGCCTGCTGGAGAACCTGCTGGACTACAGGACCATCATGCACGATGAGAGCAAGGAGAACCGCATGAGCTGCACTGTCAACGTGCTGGTATGGGGAAGGCTGGGATTGGGTGTGGGTTCTTCTTTACTGACCCGAATCTTGTGTATTCTGAAGGATTTTTTTTCTTATAGGGTTTTAAGTAATTCTTTATGCCATTTCTGGCTAATGATGGGCCCAAATCAGGCCACCAGCTATTGACAGTTATAAAACGTAGGAAGATGTACAGTCCAAAATCAAGTCACGTGGCTGGTCCTTATCTCCATGGTAATCTGAATCCTTAAAATACAGGGAGGAAAGATGGGTAGCTGATAGTTTGGGAAATGTGGGCATAAGTCCCTATTCCACTGCAAAGAGCTGTATAATTTTGGACAAGTCATTTCCTCTCTTTGACTTACCCCTTTTCTAGAGGTGACAGAAGCCCCACCTTATGATAAGGGGATGGTTGCAGAGATATATGCACCTAAGTAGGCAAAATTACAGCAAAGGTATTTGTAATATCTAAAACTTAAGGCTTAAGTTACTTGTCTAGAGATGATTATGCAAATCTGTGGCATAGTCCATCGTAAAAGTTGACGTTTTTCTATTTTTGGCAGAATTTTTATAAGGAGAAGAAGCGAGAGGACATTTATATCAGGTAGGCTGTTTCCTTCCATAAACCTGTGTAGAAGCCTCTGTTTCTCTTGGTGTTGTGCACACTGATAGAGGAGTCCTTCACGTTGAGTAACAATTGCTTTTTGTTTATGTAGGTATCTGTATAAACTCCGGGACCTGCACACAGACTGTGAGAACTTCACAGAGGCAGCCTACACTCTCCTCCTCCATGCAGAGCTGCTCCAGGTATTACACTAAAACCAATTCCAGTTTCAACTGTCAGGGTATGTTTTTTTTAAATGAAGTGCAAACAGCTCAGAATAAACAATACACTTTTTTTTTCTTTTTTTTTTTTTTTAATGTGACTCTGCATTACTTACATTCTAGTGGTCATTAAGCAGCTTCACAATTTTGCAAATTGCACTGCAGCTAAATGGATGAAAGCAAAAATGTTATTAGCATCAATTTGTTACATACTGTTGGTAAACCAAAGTGCTGTAGTGAGCTGGGAGAAAATGTCCATGTTCAGAGTCATAGTGCAGGTTTTTTCTACTTCTGTGTGAACAGTATAAAATGCATTAGCCTAAGCCGTCTTAATTTGGATTTAAGTCAACCTCTTCATACCTGCCACAGATTAATAAAGCAGATGAATTCTTAAACTGATTTAAAATGAACTTTTAATGTAGAAAAAAAAATTGCACGTAATTGAAGCTTTGTGGCTGCTTATGTGTGTAGTGGGAAACTGTAATCAGATGTTTTCTGCGTAGCTGGCTGGGGTGGTTTAAGAAGTTACAGCTCACTGGCTGCTTGTTGCTCTAACCATGCTGCTGAGATGTGGTGTTTCTCTGTGCATTCCTGGGTTACATTAATTAGCCAGCTCAGCTTATATCACTAGAAAACTTCCTTGCTCTCCCTTTGCATCGATGATGGGTTTGGCTGTAGTGCATCCCTGCAGAAGGTGTCTATCCACTGTAAGGAGTTCTTCATCTGAAGATGTTCCAATTCTTTTAACTTTGCCTTTTTTCCTCTGTGCTAGTGGTCCGAGAAGCCCTGTGTCCCTCACCTCCTGCAGAGGGACAGCTACTATGTCTACTCACAACAGGAACTCAAGGAAAAACTCTACCAAGAAATTATCTCCTTCTTTGACAGGGGCAAGGTGAGTGTCTCTGCAGTGTTCATACACCTCACTGGAAATACTTGGCCTGGGGAGTGTTGGTGGCCGAGGCTGGTCTCAAGGGTAAAAGTGAACATGATTCCAGAAGAGGCCTTTGATGCCTAAACCTGGCTTTTTAATAGGGACCACAGTTCTGGCACAAGCAGGGCATGTATTTGTCCTGGTGATGTTTGAATCCCTCTGTTTCATTGTGGGACAAAGAGCATCTGAAAAATCAACCTGGGAAGATGAGAAAAGTGTAGGTGTTTTTCTTTCTCTTCTGGGTGGTGGCTTTTGTCAAGTTTTTTGCACCACAGTAAGTATGACTTTTCATTGTGGGACAAAGAGCATCTGAAAAATCAACCTGGGAAGATGAGAAAAGTGTAGGTGTTTTTCTTTCTCTTCTGGGTGGTGGCTTTTGTCAGGTTTTTTGCACCACAGTAAGTGTGGCTGGTCTGGCTGGTACCAAACTTGTGTTAGTTGCACTTGGGATAGATGGTTTGACCAGGGCTAAATGAGACAAACCCAAGCCTGATGCAGGGGATGGAGTATTAGTGTAGGAGGAGACCACCAGGGCTTCTCTGCTTTGCTGTTTTGACATCTCCTTTCACCTCTTTGTGTCTCAGTAACAACAGAAACCTTGCTTTGTAAAGCATTTTCAGGCCTACAAATCAAGAGAGCTGTGTGACTATAATAATTACTGCAAAAAAATGTACAGCATGGAGTCTCAGGGCAAGTTGGCAGTGCATTAAAGTACTGCCTGAATTAAAATCAGCTGAAGTTTTTGTTTACCTATCTGTGGTAATGAATGCTTTTAACTGAGGCTTTTATTTTCCTTGTGCTCTTCTTCCCCCGCCTGCCTCCCTTCGCCCTCCATGGAGATGTGGGAAAAAGCCATTCAACTAAGTAAAGAGTTGGCTGACATGTATGAAAACAAGGTCTTTGATTATGAGGGACTTGGTAATCTCCTGGTAAGATTTTTTTTTTCTCCACTTGTAGCAGGCTGCTGACTACTTAAATTAATATTTTTGAGCAGGATAAGCCCAAAATACATTTATGCTAAAGACAAACAAACCAACGTAACCCCCGTGGTTTTGTAAAGCTTAATATTAGAAGAATATTTTCATAATATAGCTTAAAGAGTGCAGCTTTGACCTTGTAATTAGCATGACAATATTGTGTGCAGATGTTTAGCATTCTTAGTGTTGATCAAATAAGGTAACATTTGCGTGGTGTATTTTCAGGCTCCATAAATCTTATCACCTTGTTATTTCTGTGATAAAACTACTGTGTATGAACACAGAACTATAGAATCATCCTGGTTCTGAATTATGGTTTTTAGTGGTTAAAGATGTAACCAGATGGTCTTTATGTTCTTTCATATGAGAATCATCTGCCCAGTTTTATTTCTGCCAGTTTTCTGACATTTGTCACCATTTGTGTCTGCTCAGTTTCAGAACATATTTATTTTTAATTTGTGTTGCAATAGTTAAGGATTTCAAATATCCTTCTGGAATCCTAAAATCCATGGCATTGTTCTCATGTCTGCAGACCAGGAAATGAAGTTGATTCTGGCCCAAACAAACCAAATATTTAACCAAGTAAATGGAGAAGTATGGGATACTGTATCAAAAAAAATTGTAAAAAATATTCTGTAGGGCAGAATTCTGTAATAGATGGGGAATTGTCACTGGGAATGTGACCTACAATCTGGCAGTGTCCTTGAATACTCCAAAGTGAAAATGCTGATGACTTTTTCTTTTTCAGAAAAAACGAGCTACTTTTTATGAGAATATTATGAAGGCAATGAGACCTCAACCAGAGTACTTTGCTGTTGGATACTATGGTCAAGGTTTCCCCTCTTTCCTCCGGGTAAGAATCCATCCGCACTCAAATTCTGCAGTGGTGGGTACCCCAAAAGTCACAGTTGTTGCAGAGCTTCCAAGGAAATTCAGATGCCAAACTTCTTTTTCTTTGAATGACATGGAAAGATCTAAATCCCTTAAGTATTTCAAAACATTTCAGCATATAAAAACAGACAAAAGGCCAGATTTTTTGTGTTAAGTTAGTGTGTTGCAATAGGGTTTGTTAAACGATTGGTATGTTCTTATGTGGGCTTAAACAGCATCTACCTTTTGTATTTGTGCCCCCGACACGTCTCAGATACGTGATCGTTGCTGGTAGAAAACATTTAGCTTGTAAAGAATTTATCCCCTTGCTTTTCAGCCTGAATCAACCTAATTTTCAGGACGGGGGTCATTTCAGTGCTCAAGCACGTTAGTGAGAGTCTGTCCCACGCAGAAGAATTAAAATGCAAAGATGCTTCCTGTTTGAGATGGATCCAGCCAGGCTTAGCAGCACAGCTAACTAGAAGAGCAGAATCCAGCCAAAGTGACTCAGATGGGCAGGGTGCAGCACACTAGAAAATATTCCCAACTATTATTTAAAATTAAGGAACATTTACATTTTCATTTGTTTGAAGTTGCTGGCCTTAAATGGAAGCCAAGCTTAATAAAAAAGAAAAATGTTAACTTAGGACTGAGGAACTGGATGGCACAGAAGGCTTTCACCTCCAGGTCATGTTTTTGAATCTGTCCCTTCCAGTAACCACTGCTTGGTGGCCAGTTTGGAAAAATAGTTGGCCATGGTCTGCTGTTAAGCCTGTAGTGCAGAAATGCCATAGCTGGCTGTTTTGTTAATGGGAGCTGATGAGAGTCAGGAATGGAAGGGAGGTAAAACTCGGGTGTTTGTGCATATAGAGATCCCTGTTAGATCCAGCCAAATGTGGTCTGGGAGGGAGCATGCAGTTCCCTGTGTTAAAGAGCTTCTTGGGATGCGTGTTCTCTTAAAATCATTTCCCTGACTGAGGTTTCATGTATTGAATGTGTGAGTTCACACGTGTTCTGTCTGTTAAGCTGAGAGACAACACTTGGTATAAACTGGATCTCTGAGACCGCTCTCTGTATGTTTGAAAAGCTCTTTCTCATTGCTTTGTTTAACGTTAATTCTCTTTTTCTTCTGTTACCCACAGAATAAAATTTTTATCTACCGTGGCAAAGAGTACGAGCGAAGGGAGGATTTCAACCTGAAGCTATTGACCCAGTTCCCTAGTGCTGAGAAGATGACCAGCACTGCCCCTCCAGGAGAAGAGATCAAGTCTTCTCCTAAACAGTGTATCTTTTGCTTCTGATATGTTTTGACACGTTCAAGATTTGCCTCTTTCCTAGAATAAGAGAATTGGTAAACAACAATAATAAGCAAAGAACTTGCTGCTCCAGGGGGACTTCAAAGGCAGGCACTGGCCATGAAAGTAAGACTGTCCAGACTTGCAGTAGTGAACTGAAACATATTGAAAAAGAGAGACACCTTGATATTTTCTGAGTTAAACGAGGTGCTGTTAGGATGAAAGGGGTGGGAAGTGATTACTGATGTTGATGAAAGTTGTTGTATGAACAGCCCTTCTGTTTTGTTTGGTTTTTTAATTTATTTTTTCTTTATGCTGGCAGAACCACACCACTAGGCTTAAGATTCTCTTCTCTTACTTGTGAGCATGACCAAGTGCAACCTAGTGAAGATGCTTCAGGTTCTTGTTTGTGACTTCCAGTCAACAGCAGATGTGCTTCTGGAAGATGTACATCAGTAAAAACCAACTTACTGGGCTTCTGGCCTGTGGTACAGAGGCCAGGGTTGTACAGGCCAGGCCAGAGAATCTGATGGTCCATTTTGGCCTTAAAAGTCTGTGTACAAAGGCCCAACTCAAGCAGTGATACCAGATGCTTCCCTTGCAATAAGCCTGCCAAGCACTAAATCCACATAGGAAATTAAAATGCATTCAAGACCAAACTTGGTATCAAAAAATGCCTCTTCTATTGCTGCTTTGTTTCAGCTACTTCCTTTGCATCTGTTTGTGTTTGTTCTAATGTTTTTGGCTCGAGATGAACCTGAACTGCAAAATTTGGATCCAGATCTGAACTCTTCCAAAAGTTTGGGGGTGTTTGGTTCCGGGTCTTTGGCATCGCCCCATTGGAACGGGGAGCAGCTGCATAGCTTGGACTGGGGACAGGTTCTTCTCGGACTCCTACAAACACCTTCTGAAAAGATGAGGAGTTTGAGTGCCCAAATCACTGTTGTATTAGGCAGGGGTTGATGGGTCTGTAGTTTGTTTTAATTTCATCCTTTTTTAACCTCCGTTGTCTCAGGCTCTTTTTTTGCTTTTGCTCAGAATCTGTTTCCCTGCTCTTTTATGATAAAATGCCTTGTTCTTCCTTTGGTAGTTTGACAATAGTGTCCTGGAGATAGTAATTGAACTGTACCCTGTCTCGGGGAATGCCTGCACAGTTAGACGGGCTGGTCTTCCACCAGTTGTGAACTGGAAGCTGTGTAGCATGCTTAGCATGGCATGAAGCCCAAGCTAATAAGCTCTCCTGAGAGAAGGAATATATTAGCTTGGGCTCAGTGCTTGATCTAATGTGGCTGTGTGGTTTTGGGTTCAGATTTGGCTGGTCTCCAGCTGGCTCTTCAACGCGGGCAAGATGACCTTGCCTTTGCTTTCAAAATACTGTTCCAAACTACCCTCAGTGAAATAAAGGATGTATGGGGCTGCCCTACCCACCAGTAAAACCTTCCCACTTCAGAGTGCAGTTGGCAGGTGATCCACAGGAATAATCTATTAATGTGGGTCAAATTGTTTATGCTTTACATTTCCATATGGTTTATTACTTCTGTAAAGCCGTCAATATAGTCCTTAAAACAGAACTCTGGAGGAACAACACTGTAAGCCATTGTGCTTAGGGATACTGTTGATAAGTTTTTCTTTATTTCTATCATGGTTCACAGGTGCAAAAGCAGAAATAGATATTCACTGTTGCTTTCTTCAATTAGCTTTATTGAGCTAAACATTGGGAGGGGCAGCTTTGCTGTACTGGAATAATCTGACAAATAATTGTGGAGTGATGGGGGAGATACAAGAGACAGAACCAAGTACAGAATCTCATGTTCCTGTCCCCAAAGAAGGAATCAGTAGCGCCCAGATTTCCCCAGTATTTCACTAGGAAATTTCTATAGTGGGATGTATTTTTACAGCCCTTATATTATGGGGCTTTTAGATCACGAGTAGCATACAAACCACAAGAAACAATGTAATGCTTGTGGTTGTTGATGAACCACCAAGTATTTTTATTCAGACATGAAGAGTACAGGGGATTGTTGAGAAGTCTGACATTTGATGAAATCAGGAAGGGTATTTCTCTCCCTCTCCTGTTTTCCCAAAAGGAATCCTAGTTTTTCATCCTTAACTATAGCTCCTCAGATGTGCAGTGCTTTATTGTGAAGCCTGTGATGAACCTGCCGCCTAATTATAAAGATAAACCTGTTCCTGAACAGATCTTAAAGTAATTCTTTTTCTTTTTCCTCAACATTTCCTCTGTATGTTTCTCAAGTAGCCTAGGCACAAGGCGGAGCGCCTTTGCGTCTTGTGTAATTTTGTTTCACAGTCCAGTTTAAACTGCTTGGTTTTGAGAGGAAACAGAGGAACATTTATGTAAGGAGGACAGGAAAACTCACCATCTACTCTGCTTCTTTCTAGCTACTACAGAGCAAACGAGGTGCAGCAGTTCACGCACTCCCGACCCGTCAGGAAAGGAGAAAAAGACCCAGACAATGAGTTTGCTGTGAGTCCTTCACTTGTGCTCCGTTTGTCTGGGGTGTCCGTGCTGTGGGGAGATGGTTCTATGCATTGATTTATTTCGTGGGTGGCCTTTTGAACAGCACTGTCACAACTTCTTTCCTCTACCTGTTGCGATGGAGTTTTTCTATTAAAACATAGGAGAAGCAAAGTGCTGCGCTTCGCGCTGCAATCTGTACATAAAGCCAATGTGATAACGTCAAGGGGCTCCATAGCTGAGGTTGTAACGCTCAAAATCCTTCATCTAGGAGCCATAAATACTGTGCAGTCTCCCTGCAGCTTCCTAGGGAGTGCAGCTGTGTGTCTGGCAGACTCTGGATGCTGTAGCCATCCTTAAGGAAGCCACCCTCTAACCGTGAAGCCTCAGTTCAGCTCCAGGCCAACTTTTAAGATTTGAAGTGGAGAGTAACCCTTGGATGAAGCATGTTTCCTTGCTGCCTGAGAGGTGCACTGTTTCTCATGTGTAGTGGTTGGGCATGTTGCATATAACCCTGGCTAAACACACCACAATTGCAGTCCACCTGGAAGGTAAAAGCTTACTTCTGCTAATGTTGATACTGTTTAAGTAGTAGAGGTGGTATTTGTTGCCAAAAACCACTCAGTTCCATCCCAGCTAGTGAAGGTGAAGGTCATTGTGTAACCCCTGCCAGCTCGTGCTGGAAGCCTGGTTCCGTGCTCTACCGCAGAAGAGAATTGAATTGCAAGACCAATATTTTGCTTAAATCTTGGAATTTTTTTCCTTCTCTAACTAGAATATGTGGATAGAAAGGACAACCTACACGACAGCGTATTCATTTCCAGGCATCCTCAAGTGGTTTGAAGTCAAACAGGTTACAACGGTGAGTTCTGCATTTGGGCTGGGTCTCATCCCCTCCAATCTTCCATGGAGTGGAGAGCCTTGCAACTGTGAGGACTACTACTCCTTCCACAGTTCCATGTGGCACATCAAAAATTTCTGCTTCAGATAAAAGGAAATGTGTATCTTCTTTGTGCCTGTCTTTTTATGTCATTCTGCAGACAGCTCTACCCAAGACAGCAAAGTTCTTTGTTGACTGTATAATGCCTGGGAGATTGGTTACGTCTGTAACACACTCCACAGTCAGCAGCCAGGTCCTAAACTGTTGTTCCTTCAGGTTAAGGTGTAACATCATCTCTGAATGGCGAGGTAGTTAGCACAGGGAGTACAAAATCCTTGGCTGGAAGCTACTGGGCTGCTATTCATAGAGGAGGAGTTGCTTAACTTCATATTCAGTGGAGGCAAATGAAGGTTTATTCTGTTTCTTCTTTCCATCAGGAAGAGATCAGCCCCTTGGAGAACGCCATAGAAACGATGGAGCTAACCAATGAGAAAATCAGCAACATTGTCCAACAGCACATCTGGGACCGGAGCCTTCCTGTACATCCTCTCTCGATGCTCCTGAACGGGATTGTGGACCCGGCGGTCATGGGGGGATACACCAACTATGAAAAGGTCTCTTTCACATTGATCTGTAGCTCAGTCTGTTTACCTTTGTAACGTTGAAGACCTGGATTTGAAACTTGGGAGGCTGAAGTTGAGTTTTCAGCTATTACTCAGCCATAGCGCGTTGTGTAGCTCTGTCTCTGTGTTCAGAGCTCAAAGAAGAGGAGAAAAGAACAAAGATTTCCACTGGTGCAAGGTGGAAAACCCCCATGTTGGTGTTTAGTGCTGTGTGTTGCCACAGAGAGGAATGATCCAGCTCTTTGGGGCCCTGTTTGTGTGGTGATAACGACATGATCCTGCCTCGTGGGGGCATTGAGGTGCTGGGTCAGCCCAATGAACTGTGCAAGTAACAAAGAAAAGCAAAAGAGCTAACTTTTCTCCACTGTATTAACAAAAAATGATAAGGCAAATGAGGATTTTTCTTTCCAACAGATAATCTGTCTTTGGAGTCTTGCAGCAAAAAGCATATATTTCAGGAAAAAAAGCAGTGTTTCCTCTCTGGGTTTGTTCAGTTGACTTGAGTTGAACAGAGCATGTTCTTCCTTTTTTGTGGTGTTTACCTTAAGCTGTTTATTCCCGGTATCTAATGATGATATTCCCAGCACAAAATATATGACTTGTTTCCATAAACTGAGTGGAGGGTGTTAAAACACATTTAATTCTTCTCAGATGTGTTCCAGTCACATGAAATGAAGTGCAAAAGTTAAATGGGAGAGGATCTGATTTATCTGGGGTCTAACTCTGCTGATTCCAGAGGAGCTGCATATTTTGTCAGGGCTGAATTTGGCCCTAAATCCTCTCTTTTTATGAATTAAGGTTGACATAAAGTTTAGAATTACGAAAGTGGGAAAGCAGTTAAAACTAGGAAACACAAAGTATCTATAACCACATCTGGAAATACTCATTTCTGGTTCATATTTTCCTATTTCAACTGAAGAACAGTACAGAACATTTGGCTTTTGTGGGCGGCTAAAATCTTGAGTTTTAATTGTTTCGTTGTAGCCAAAAGCCAAAGTCTGCGTTTTTAACATGGGCTTTCTTCTTCTTGCAATAATTAAACACTTTCAAGAAAAATCCACTGGGGCCCATCCAGCAGCCCTTTCACAGGGTAACCTCCTCTTGACATCAGCCTTTCTCGGAGTCCTACCACCAGGCCTATAAACACTTGTCCATACGGTCCAGTTAATGGAATGCAGGGCTGAGAAATCCGTGCAGGGGCTGAAACAGATCAGAGTCGGGTTTTTAAAACCAAATGAAAAAATTATTAGGGATTTTTATCTAGGAAAAAGAAAAATGAAATTCTTCCTGCCCGGGAATTGTGATCCATTTCACTGCAACCCACTGTAGCACACAACAGGAACTGGCAAAATTTTAAGGCTGTAAGTCCAGGAAAGTGTATTTGTCTTTGTTCAACTTTAAACCCGTACCAGATTCTGGTGATTTAAGGTAAATGCATAAGAATCGTGGACTAAAGGTGCTTTGTTGAATAAAACTGCAAGTCAAACTCTCAGCACAGTCTTTATTTCTCCTGAATCTTCCTAACAAGCCCCATGTGAAAATGTTGTACTTTAGGGCTTAAATCATAGAGCTTAAGGAAATTGCGGGCGGGAGATGCCCTGTTCACCTTTCTCTGCAGCTGAGGTGGGTGGTGTGTCGTTGTGTGCTGTGGGGCACTGAGTGCTCAAAATGAAAGAGGCTTTTTGAACCAAAAAACTGGAGGCTGGATCTACTGCCCATGTTTGAGCGACGAGGAGTGTAACCTCAGTTATTCACATCAATACTGTTTTATGAGAAGGGAACTGCTGTTGAAGAAAACCTTTCCGATGAAGTACCTTTTTTTACATATCAGTGTTCACTGAAAAATAGTAAAATCTGGGTTGCTTTCTTATTAAAAAAAAAAAAAGTCTCTTTTCTTCCCAGTTCTCAACAAATGTTTCTTTGTCCCTCAGCTTTGTGTCAGGGAGATATTAAAAACAAACTTTGCTATGAGGAACAATGCCAATTAATTGCTTTTAAAGTACAGGGATCTTTCAGTCAGCTGTGAAAGCAATGTAGTGTCTATGTCATCTCTTCTCTTTGCTTTCAGGCCTTTTTCACAGAGAAATATCTTCAAGAACATCCTGAAGATCAAGATAAAATTGAAATGCTTAAGCAACTAATTGCTCTACAGGTATTGTGTTGGGAGAGACTGGGGAGTGCTATGTGTGAGTGCAGATGTTTTTTCTAGCAACATTGTTTTGGAGAGATAATGCAGATCAATACTGTAAGAACAATCTGGATGTGCATAGAGTTGGGCTTTTTTATTTTAAGGAAACTGTCCTATCATAAAATTGTGGCCTGGACTGTTCCGTGTACCTGGTGTTGCTCGGAAATGGTATTATGGAGTATTTGCCAATATGGCATAGACATTTCCCTCATGAGCATAACAAAATATCTGTTACCTTTCATGAAATCATCAGACCTAATGTTTTGTCAGTCTGACCATTGAAAGTTGTCTATTTTGACCTGCATAGCAATGAAAAATTGCCCTCTTTTTTTTGTAATCTAAATTGCATGCCTGCAGATCAGTTTTTACATGTTTCTGCACAAACAGAGCCCACTTAAAGGTACCTCACAATCATGAGGCTTTGGGGGCTGAGAAGTGATGCTCTGACATTTACCGTGCTGTGATTTCCAAAGGAGACTATAGAATCTGAGTAGGGAAGAGGGAACCATAGCTATAGATGAGGGAAGTGTTTGTGTTTCTTGAACACATGGAGTTCAAACAGTCAAGTTACTACAGTGTCACAAGTGACAAGTCAGTAACTGAGCTTTTTTGCCTCTGCAAGCTTCAAACACGTTGCTTTAAGTCCCTTTGATTGTATGTGAAATGTGTCACGTGCCTAGAAAATACCTTCCTGGAACAGAAGAGCCGATTTGTCCTTTTGTGGCTTAATTTTGATCCTTCTTTCAGATGCCGTTGTTGGCAGAAGGGATCAGGATCCACGGTGAGAAGCTGACGGAGCAGCTGAAGCCTCTCCATGACAGACTGACAACCTGTTTCAAAGAGCTGAAGAAGAAGGTGGAGAAGCAGTACGGAGTGATAACTTTGGTGAGCGTGCCTGGGGGTTTAGTGTTTTGCCTCAAAGAAGCACAACTTTCCCCTTTCCCAATTGTGAGTTAGTGTTCTGTGATTTATCACAAGCATATTTGTCTGCAGCCTCCCTCCCTCACCGAAAGGAAACCCAGCAGGTCAGGCTCTGTGGTGTTGCCCTACATCATGTCTTCCACGCTGAGACGGCTCTCGGTCACCTCTGTGGCATCTTCTGTGGTCTCTACATCCTCCACGTCCTCTGACAGCACTTCCTCCAGACCCGGTTCCGACGGGTTAGTAACCAGCCTTTACCATGTGATTTACAGGAGTGGAAATATGCCTTTGTTGGAAATAGTTACTATTAAAATGAAGATTTATTCTATACGAAATAGTAATACCTCTGCATTTAAAATTTTAAATGGAGGCCAATGTTGTTATTCCACTTAACAGACAGGGAGTTTGAAGGGATGGAGACAGTGTATTTCAGATGCACGCTATATCTTTTCCCCAGGGATGCTGAAACACAGAGGTGTAACATACTACAAGGTAGTTTAGTTTGATGTTTTTTGCAAAGAGATGCATAGTTATACGGTAGTAGTTCCACCTACCTGTTTGCAGCTTCATCCATGGCATTAAAAGTTGCTGCTGGACGTGGAAACATATCCTGGTGTTACTTCTCTGGGCATCTAGTTTGCATCTGTGACAACCAGAGAGTCTCAGTGACTTGCTCAAGGTCACACAGCAGACTTGGTGACAGGGTTCAGCATCACAAGCAGGTCTGGCTCCTTCCCAAGTAGATCACACTTTATTTGGTACCTAAGGCATTATACTTAAAATCGCTAGGGTAACTGAGGAGCACAAATCTCACAGAAAATTCCATGCTTATAACTTGGTTTCTCCCATTAATCTCTTATGCAAACGAAGAGAGCAGAGCTTTTTAACAGACAGTGCTTTAAATGTTGGATGGATGGACTAATGTTTCATGTTTTTTCACTCTTTCGGTGTGGGCCACAGATCTATTCTGGAACCTCTCTTGGAGAGAAGAATATCAACAGCTTCCAGAGCTGAGGAACTGCCAGTGAAAGATGATGGTGATAACCGGATTAGCAAACTCAAGCGGAAGGAGTGGAGTGTTAGCAAGTCTCAGGTCATTGTAGAGAAGGAGCCAGAAACGGAACTGACTTCCAAAATGGTAAAAAAAAAATATAAAATAATAATAGCAATAATAAAATCCACAGCAGGAGATTTTAGTGTTTCCGTTGTTTTCAGCCATGCCTGTCATTGGGAACTTCATTAAATAGCAGGAGGGGTTCAAATACCAAAGGTCTTGGTCATCTGAGTAATTCTTAGGTTTTATTTGGAAAACTTGTGTCAGGGACTGAACTGCAGTTTGGCTTAGGGTACAAACTGGAAGCACCAGGCACTGATGTTTCAGCGAGGTGCTCAGTGCCCTCGTTTCGTGTAGGAGTGGAGGGGACTGTGTGATGTGCTGAGCACGATGCAGAACTGTTCTGGTTTTGTTGGAGCGAGCAGATTCTGCTGGCTGGCTCAGAAATCTGTCTGCTGAGCCAGATGTTCAGCCTCTATCAGTCAGCAGCACTCCACAAATCAAATGTCCTGCAAGGTGGAGATCAGTTTGAGAGATTGGGGAGTTGAAAAGGCACCCTGGCTGTTCCATCACCAGCTTGGGACTTGCAAAAACTGGTTCTTCCAGTCTGTTGTACCCTGCTCCCCACCTCCTGTGTGAGGGCAAGAATGTGTACTCCTTGGGCACATTCTTTTCAAAAGAGGAATAAAGGAGAATCTATACCCCCACAGGAGTGTTGTAACAAGGAATATGTTGGAAACTGTTAGTCATTCGGGGTCAGATTCAGAATGATCACCTAATGCAAATGGATAAGTTTCAGCCCAAAAGTGGGGTTGTATGACCTTGGATTATTATCCTCATTTATGCTAGGACTATGTTACAATATCAGAGAGCACATGAGCATTAGGTACCTGAGTATTTAAGCTGATGGCTCAGGGATACTAATTGGACTTAGCACAGGCTGGGTAAATAATGAGAAAACATGAGTTTCCCCTTTCCTCCCAAGATCTCAACTGAATCTGGCAGGAACAGGTTATGCCAGAATATATTCAGGAATTCTCATCAAATCTGAGTGATGCTGCCAGTACTTGGAGTCTGCAGAATATTTATAAAAAGGGGAACTGTTGTTCTAGAATAATGTCATTTGGTATTGACAGGCTTTCCACTCAAGAGGAAAATCTGGGGCTTGTAAATATTAGTGGTTCAGGAGGCCTGGCCTTCAGTCTCTGGAAGAATGACATGGGTTTAACCCACAGACTGGGATGTCAGCTGTTGATCAATTTATTAAGTAAAACTAGAGGGAAATGACCTGGGAGAAAGCCCATTTGTATGGACAGTTTGCTCGGACAGTGAGGCATGTCTGTCCCAGACTTTGTATCGCAGGGAGCTGAGGATGCAGAACAGAACACCCACCCTCCCCTCTGCCCCCATATCTCTGAGGGCACATTACATGTGTGATCAGCTTGCTGAAGTGAACGAGCAGTTAAGGGTTATATTCATGTTAAGAACATTGCAAAGTACGGAAAAAGCTGGTTTTTATAGCAGGTCTGTTCCAAAGCTGCACAGTGCAGCCCAGGAATTGGACAGACTGATTCTCTGCAGCTCTTGACTAAGCTGTTTGGGAGCTGGAAAGCCAGAGGGGACCCAAAGGCTGCTGTATGGCCAGCAGCTTTGGTCTTTTAAGTTATATATTCACTGCACACCAGTGCGTGCTCCCTTCTGCGCAGTGAGAAACACCAAACTGCTCAGTGATGAGGAATTGATCTCTAAAAGTAAGTGACAGCCTTCTCTGTGAAGCAATCAACTGATATTTAAAAGGACTGTAAAATTGGTACACTGGGCTCTGGGGACCAGTCAGATGGTCTCACAATTTCAGTGAAGAGCACAGAGGACACGCGTGACACTGGAAGGAACTGGAACATCTCCCGAGTCCCACATGCAAGGGATTTGCTCTGTAAAGCCCAAAATAGACTTGTTTCGCAGCCCTGAGGAGCTGGATCATACCAGCAGTCCTGATTTGATCCCAGAATTTCATCTTTTTTTTTTTTTCTTCTTGGAAAAACTTTTTTTCCCCAAAAACATTTGTTCACAGAATCACAGAACTGCTAGCCAAATGCAGCAATTTTTCAGCTTGACATCTTCCCATCTTAGTTAATGCACTAAGGTCATCAAAAACAGTCAGACAAACAATCAAAAATTGCTACCCAGTTAACAAGGTCCTACAGCAAACTGGCTGTGCCAGTGTGTGCCCGTTGACATGGCTTAGCACGTGTGGGGGTGTCACTCTTGAGTTTCACCTGAATGCACCTTCTTCTCTTACGTCTGGCCTTTCTGGAGGGTGTTGATGCCTTTGTGACAGGTCTGATTATCTGAGACGGTGTTCACCAACCATCCTGGCTTCTGAAGGCTTTGTTTGCTCTTTGTTTCAAGCAGGGCACGTCAGGAAAAGCACAAAGGCCAAAGAGTCTTCAATTAGGAGACAACAGACTGACCTTGCTTCAGGGTTCATCACTCCAGCCATCCACGCCTTGCAGCCCACCGCCCATCACTCCCAAAACCCCAAGGACCCAAAGTAAGTTCTGTTTCACTGAATTTCACTGAATTTCTAGAGTTGGAAGGGACCATAGAGATCATCTAGTCCAACTCCCCTGCTGAAGCAGGATTGCCTAGAGCTTGTCAGAGCATGTTACTCAGGAGCATCCAGGCGGGTCTTGAAAATCTCCAAAGAAGGGGACTCCACACCCTCCCTGGGCAGCCTGTTCCAGGGCTCCGTCACCCTCACCGTGAAAAAGTTTCTCCTCATATTTGAGTGGAACCTCTTCTGTTCCAACTTGTGCCCGTTGCCCCTCGTCCTCTCACTGGGAACCACTGAAAAGAGTCTGGCTCCCTCCTCCCTCAGCCCGCCCTTGAGATACTTGTAGGCATTGAGAAGGTCTCCCCTCAGCCTTCTCTTCTCCAGACTAAAGAGTCCCAGCTCTCTCAGTCTCTCCTCATAAGGGAGATGCTCCAATCCTTGAATCATCTTTGTTGCCCTTCGCTGGACTCTTTCTAGTAGTTCCCTGTCCCTCTTGAACTGGGGAGCCCAGAACTGGACGCAGTACTCCAGTTGTGGCCTCCCCAGTGCAGAGTAGAGGGGGAGAATGACCTCCCTGTTGCAGAGCAATCGCCACATCCTGCAGGGCAGTATCTGCAGCGGTAGGAATTACTGTGCATTTGCTGAGGAAACCTCACTGGGGAGGGAGGGAGGGAGGGAGGGAGGAAGGAGCTGCTCTGAAGTAGTTCACAGAAAGTGACCCTGGGTGTTAATGTTTGTAGACATTTTTGTCAGATAACAGAATTTGGCTGTGTTACCAAAGGCACCACAATCGTGCTTGTAACTTGCATGTCACTGGTTAAAATTACTACGTTAGATTAATTCCAGAGGATAATTTTTATCTTCTTCAGTTTCTTTCTTGTTTTCTCCTGCATTGACTTGTGGGAAGGTGTGTTAAACCCCATGGTGAACGTGCAATCAGTGCAAATGTTGTTCATGCATCACACCAGGTGGTTGCAGCACGTGTAGAGGAATATCTTCAGTGAGTTCACTGGGTGGAACTCCATCGACCCAGTGAGGTATTTCTTATCAGGTCTATGGCTAAATTTTTTGGGCAAGCCCTGAAGGCTTTCTTAATTAGTGAACAGTAACTCCCATCACGTGGCAAAAAGTTACAGGAGAAGTTGCTCTGCAGCTTGGAAACTCAGCTGATAAATGTTACACCTGAAAAAAAAGAAATTTATCTCGAAGAATTAGCAAAATGAGTAATTTGGGCAGTTACCTTCCTTGCTTATCCACTGAGCTCTGTAGTTAATTCTGAAGCAATATATAAATGTGGCTAAAGTAAAAATGCAACTGCAGTGTCACCACTGATGACTTCCTTGCATGCCCTGTTGCATTTCTCACTCTACTGCTCTTTTACTAAAGGAACAGAAGTTCATATGTAGGACCTGACCATCCTCCTCTTACATGGATATAAATTCAGAATCCAGTGTTGATAATGAACTGAACTAACAGTAAACTCTTGTGAGAGGATTGAAACCAAAAAATACATATCAGGGTTGGGGGCGGACGGGGTGAGGAGACAACCAGAAACACAAACAAATGCAGGAATACTATATGAAGAGAGATCTGTGAAAGGAATGTGAAACCTCCCTCTTCCACATAGCGGGTGGTTTTAATTGCTGTTAGAAGCAGGACAGCTTCCCAGGAATTCTTCTGAAGTTTGGGTACTTATCTACTCCATCAACTGGAGTTAAAATCAAAGTGAATTCTCAGGTTGAGGCCGAGGCTGAAAGGAAACCCCACTGAACATTGCAGATGTGATAATGGATTCAATTCTCTGTTCTCTCAGGCATGCGTTTTTCACATAAGCTTAGATTCATGTGATGAAGATGGAACTCTTCTGGGCATTTTGAACTTAAGGGAGATACAGCTGTGACTCTGCTTTGACATATCCATTCAGATTTAGCTGCTAAAGCAGAGAGCTGTTAGCAGATCGAAAGCACCAGATATTAAGTGATTCTCCCTTAAAATTCTACATGGTCAATCCCATTTCTCATTCCTTTTCTGCCCTACTTTAATGTCTTACTATTGTTGTTGCTTCTAGGTTTTCCCTCACTGCAAGCTGATGGGTTGGCAACCTCCAGCTTACAGAGCACCCCACCTCCTCCTCCACCCAAGAGCAAACCCTACGAGAACAGCAGCCAGCGGAATTCCGTGGAGGTGAGGAAATGAGAGCTGACGGGCTTTTGGAAAACAGCTTTTGAGAAAAGAGACACCAGTGGAATTTTCCAAGCTGCTTCTAGGGTGGTGCTACTTGAAACTTGTCTAATCATTTTACTGGTACACTCCCTCAAACCACAAAAGAGTAAAAAGTTTTTTGCCTCAAGAGAAGGCCATCAAATGCAGTCCCGTTTTTTTTTTTTCTTTTTCCGAGTGGGAGTTGTGTTGTCCTTGGTCAGGGAAACTGCGTGTGGGGGTGGGAAGATATATTGAAAACAAACAAGCACAATGATTGAAAAGTTTCAAAAATATGGTCAATGTGAAATAGCACAGTAATCTGGTCCTGAAAGAGAAGGGGAAAAAATAATACATTTTCAGGAATGATAAATGTATCCTTTTGAGTTCTCAGCTCAGAAGTATCTAATTTTTCAAGATGTGCGTCATTAGTCACTTAAAACAGCCTGTGTTATATCAGCATTAGCCACAGCCTTTGTCTTAATTTCATGAAGTTTGTTTCCTTCTAGGAACATCAAATTACCACTTCTTTTTTTTTTTAATGCTGTATCACTAACAGCATTAGCCACAGCCTTTGTCTTAATTTCACGAAGTTTGTTTCCTTCTAGGAACTTCAAATTACCACTTTTTTTTTTTTTAATCACTAATGTTTCTCTTACACTATGGGATTCCAAATGGCCTGCAGATATTGAATGTGTGGACATCCTGGTCAGTATGTCAGAGTTGTTTCATCTGCCCCAGAAATGTAGGTGCTTCTGGCAGGAGACTGGAATTTCTTACTAGTGCAGAGCAACAGGAAGCATCCTTTTGTAACTGTGGAAGGGGTGGGTGTCTTCCCCAGCCCAGTTTGCAAAGAGGATTTACGGATACCTTAGTGAGATGAACTGGAATTTGACCAAAAAGAATTTAAAGAATGGTCGCACTTAACAAATAATGTTTACCTCTGACAGCACAGGAAGACAACAGCTGGTCATTTAATTCTGTTAAAGAGGACACTGGCATGAGGCCTTGAAGCTTGGGATAAATAAGAGGTTTTCTACTTCACCCTTCGTTAGGTCAGAATTGACTGCCCTTCTGAAACGGGGCAGTACAGCTGGAGGTGGTGAGAATGGCAGAAATGTGCCAGCTCTGGGGATGCTGAGGGAGTCACTGATTGAAGAGGATTAATAAAAGAGCCTCCATCCCTTGAGTCTTGTAAGAAAACTAATTACTAACATGTTCTGGCTTGCAACATTGACCTTGGCTTGCGGCCAAATGGAAAGGATTTGAAGGGCTGTAAAGAGAGATTGTAAAAGTATTTTCTGAAGGGTTTTGTTACATTGATGTTTGTTGTAAAGTTGACTCTGTCCTTTGGTGAAAATAGTACTGAGATCTTGACAGTTTTGGCCAAGCAAGTGGTGACCCACACAACCTTCTTGTTCACTTGGGCTTTTGTGTCTCTTTCGTTTAATGATGCCCCTTAAAACAGGGAAAGTGCCAGCCTGAGAGAACCCACTGGTGCAGTTTCCTGCAAGAACTTGCTGCTGTTTTATGGAGTTCGCTGTGTCATTCTGATTTGGAAGCATTTTACATCCTTTTGGCCCCTGCTTGGTGCAACTCATCAAGCCAGCAAGATAAAAATAGTTAAATTTTGAAACCTTGAGAGAAATAGGTTTATTGCCATTTTCCTGATAAACAAAAGGTGGGACAGAGGAACAAATGGCTCTGACTAAAAGTCAGGCTGCAGGTCAGAGGCAACTAAAGCATATTCTAGCAATAAAAATGTATTTGCTTTTATTATCTCCTGGGGATGTGTCCTTGTCCCGTCATCGATTGCATGTAGTACTGAGAGGCTGAATTCAAATATTTGGACCTGAAAGAAACATCAGGGAGTCCAGGACCTTTTGGATTTCTTGTTTGGTAAAAAACGATGTATTAACTTGTCAGTAACGTTTTATTTTCCTGTGTATTTTTGGTTTTATCTTCTCAGGTTGCTCCACCACTACCCAGCAGACGTGAAGCCAAACCTCCCCCTCCACCCCCCAAAACCAGAAAATCCAGCGTTGCCTCTTCCGAGCAAGGGCTGCAGTGAGGACCATCCAGCAGGGACTGCAGTGAGGACCATCCAGCAAGGACTGCAGTGAGGACCATCCCTCGCTGGTGTGATGGCAAGAGCCCAGAGGGAAACAGCTGCTTTATTTTAATGACTTCCTGGGGCTGTCTGACCCTAAAGACTGGTGATCTCCCCTGCCATTCCATTCACTCCCCTTGGAGTTTTCTTTGGGAAACACCAAAAGGAACTGTCCTTGAGACTGAATTCCCAGCCTCTGGTTTACCTTTCCAGTACTGAGACACTAATCCGTGTAACAGGAGAAATTCTTCTCTGTCTTAGTCTTGTCTGTCCCAAGTTTTTTTTTTTACTGATGCAATTTCAGCAGCTCATTCCTAGCGTAAACCTGTCAGGGTAGTGATTGGAACCAGTGTTTGAAGCAGGTAAGCCACGCCAGGATGAGAAGTGTCCCACAGTGTTTTCAGAGGACTTCATTTCATCTTTCCAGCCGTACTCGCACACGGATCCCTCCTCCTGCCCCTGGAGTGAGCCCAAGCCCGGGTTTCCCTGGCGCGGAGCCGCTCCGGAGCTGTGAAGTGTCGGCTCCTGCGATGTCAGGTGTCGGTGTGTGATGTGCTGTCTCCTAAGATTCTTGATGGCAGGCAGAGACCTGAGCATTCTTAACAGAATAAGAAGTCTTTCTTCTTTTTTTTTTTTTCCTGCTAGTCATCATATGTATTTAAGATGAAGCGCAGACCTTCTGCCATACACTGTCTCCGCTCGCGTGGCGGCAGTTGCTCACTCCCAATGGAGAGTTTAGGTTCACCAGTACTTTGTCAGAATTTTGTTGTTGATTCTGGTTTTTAATGCTACAGAGCAGTTGATATTCCTCCTTGAATTATGTGACCTGCTTGGTTTGTGCTTGCATGTGGGGCTTGGTACAATATTTCATCTGTGTGTTTTTTAATAGGGTGTAAAAAGTTGCTTCTGTCTTGTGAGTATGTGAGAACAGAAGCTGCGTGGATACCAGCAGTGTACTGGTGCCAGCAACTGGGAGAGGATAGAGTGTGCAAAACTAGTTATACACCCTGACCTCAGAAACAAAGTCTGACAGTTTCTGTAACCCTTACTTTGGCTGGGCAAATTCACACAAATATAAATGATTCTCATCTGCTTTTCCCCACCCTGAACCCCTTTGTGGCAGTACTTGCACTTTGGTTTATAGCCTCCCTCCATGGAGGTTTTTAACAGCCACTGGACTTTCAGGAGCCATTTCGATCCGAGATGCTTGTGAAAAACTTGACAATTAACCACCTACTTTCCTGTTGGTTGGATTTCTTCAGCTCTGCAGCCTTTCTCTCCTTGGAGGTTGGGATAATCTCTTTGATTTTTCTTTTAGTTATTTATTCCCTGCTCTGTCTGGGTGTCAGCATCAGTCTTTCTGTTTATATAAAGTGATATGATCTTAGGTTTTGATGTTTTTAAATTCACATGATCTGTGCCTCCATGCTGTTGCCCACTGTTAGAGTAGCCCATCCTCACAGTTGCATAGTGACCAAAAACTCAACACAAATATCATTGTTATTTCTGGCCCCGGTGGACCATAGACCCAGCACTCCTCTGTGCCTCAGCTGCTGCTGGAAGCTTGTGGGTAAAAACCAGCACATCATCGTTTGTGATTAATACTCCCAATGTTGGCAGAAAGCAGCTGAAAAGGTTTTCTTGATTTGTAAGAATTATTCTCGTCACATTCAGGCAGAATATTTTGCTGTGCTGTTCTGCCTGTGTCACTGGCTGTTGTTTTTCACTGGGGTTTTCCAGGGAAGGGGAAAAAAAAATAATCACTTGTCATTGTTGTTCCCTTTCTGGCTGTTGTTTTTCACTGGGGTTTTCCAGGGAAGGGGAAAAAATAATTGTCATTGTTGTTCCCTTTTGCTCTGGAATGCAGGAAACATGGGAGTTTGCCTGCAAAGTTCAGATTCAAACTTTTTGGAAAGTTCAGTGTTTTCTTAAAACTCATCATGAAGGGGGACCAACAGGAATTTGGACCCGACTTTATTTCTGAACCTGTACAAAACTGTGGCTGTTTGCTTACAGCCTGTGGCCTCTTTATTTATCAGTGGTATTGATGGAGAGTCTGTCGTGGGCTTGCTCTGCTGGGAGGTAATTTTGCTTGATGCCTGTAACAGTCATTTAGCTTCTAATTATCAGGTAGAAGTTGGAGAGACACTACACACGCTGCTGAGGATGCTGCTCTGTGTGGTAGGTTTGTGAACCACTGCACCATCACTCTGCTCACGGGACTTAACGAGGTTCCATTGCCTTACTGCAAAATTGAAGTTGGTTAAACCTAATGGAAGCTTTTCTCAGCAAAGCCTTTTTCAGGGAAAAACCAAACCACTTGTGTTCAGGCTGAAGCAAACCTTTCTTTTGGTCTTCTCCATTCCTTCGGCTTCAGTGTGGCTCCAGTTGAAGAACCTGCAGAAGCTGCAGCTGCGTTGCTGTTCCTGTAGACCAGATTGCTCTCATCGAAGGGTCGTATGGGATTCACATCACAGCCCAGGTTGGAGACACTTTGGAGGCTGCACTGCAGTCACATCACATCCATCCCCAGCCACGTCTGCTCCAGCACACACAGCTCTCTTCTGGGCCCTCACCTTCTCAGGGGAAATCTGGGAAACCTTTCTGCACAACGTGCCTGTGGTCCCCCCCTCTCTCTGGTGCGTTGTAGGACTTGTCAGCTCCACATTATGTTCTTCAACATAGATGCTGCTTGACTTGAAAACCACAGGGTTTTCTTGTCTTTCATTGTTTATCCACTTCTTCCTCTCCTCGTAACTACTGTCTTCCTTCTGCTGCGCACATGAACCAAAGGACCCTCTGAAACTCTTCACTTGAACAAGAACTTTTGTCTTCAGTGAGAATTTTGCTTTGGCAGAACAGCAGGACGTGGTCTGAATTGTGGAAAAGTACGTATTGCCAGTAATTTGTAATTCAGTGCCTTTCCCTATTCTACATCTGCTTGTTCCCTCGTTCTTGGGTGCATTTCCTTTTCAGAGCAGGTTGGCCTTTAACTCCTTTGATAAATCAGCAGAAACAAAGAGGCTGGGTAGGAATCCCAGCTAAAGGTTTGTCTGTTGTGGGCAAACAAACCGGCTGTCAGGTTTGGCTATTTTGGTTCCAAGTGACTTTTGAGTCTTATTTCCCGACCTTTTTGATCTGCTTTAATAACTTTAACTCATAGATGTACCTTGTGCATTCAGAATTTAGTTTTCTTAAACATATTACTGACAGGTACATGAAGGGCTCTGGTCCTGGTGGAGAAGGTCAACGTAGTTTGCCTACAGGTAGAAGATGGAATTTTTGTCCCATGCCTGAATGATTTAGGGCTTCATGGCAGTTTTAGAAAAAAAAGCATTGTCTTCTAAATGTCACATTTTTAAAGGCAATTGGGCATTTGAGTGTGTGAATAAGCATGGGGCCTGACTGATTTTAATTAAGCAGAATTAAGTGCCCCCACTCTTACGAGAAATCCCACCAGACCCCTGATTTAATTTCCGAGTTACCTGACTTAAGTTCTGAGATTTCATTTTCGGAGACAATTTAAGACCTCGCTACTTAGTTTTTCAAAATGAGAATCATCTTTCCATGTTAATTAGATGCTTTTGAAAATGTCATCTGTTGTCTTTTAAACTGGAGGGCTAAAAGTGGGAGCAGAACGGTCCATAATGATGTCACCTCTGCATACCAGAAATGAAAGCAAAGAACAGCCTTTCTACCCAATTCATAGTTTCAAATAAAACAAAATCTCAAAGTGAAATATCCAGTCTGCGGAGAAGACGAAATCTAATCCCATTTCATAGCCGTGCTGTTCAAAGCTAGTGTTAAATTTCAAGACTTTAGAGGATTTATGTTTTTTTTTTTCCTTTGGAGAAATATGCTCAACACTTGTTTTCTGGAGCTTTTAATTAAAATTTGTCATGCTGTGCTAAATTCCTTTAAAAATGTTACAGGCTCTAATCCACATCAGGGGAAGAGAGGAACAGACAGCTTTCCATTTGAGTGGATTATTGGATTAGGAAAGGACAGCGATTCCAGTGAGAATGGGCTGTGATGTAGATGCAGTGGTCGTTGAGAACCTTCCCCCAGCGTATGGCCCACAGCTTCACAGTGAGTTAGACATGTAGTGATAACAGCTCAGAGTCTCACATTCTCTCTCCTTATTTATTTTAATAATTGTAAATGAAAATAATAAGTTTTAAGATGTCTGTAATTTAACTGTAATCAGTCTTTTCCGTAGTGAAATCATTCCACACCCATTACTGCTACCTTCTTTCAATTTTTTTCTTTTAATTAAAAACTTCTCTGTTTTACATTCACTGCTGCAGACCCAAATTATCTAGTGGACCAGGGGAAGGTTTTTCTAGGGCTGCATCAGAGAGAAAAAGTAAATACTGTGATTTCATTGATTGCCAGGCAGGAGAGGACCTTTTCGAAAGCACGTGAGGGTCACCTAATTCTGCTCCTATTAAGGTTCCAGCACCTCTAGGACAGTTTGGTGGGCACTGTAGAAATAGAAGAGCTTATAGAAAAGGTGAAAAGCAGCTGTGTGTGTATTTTTCTGGCTGTTCTGATTTAAGGCTGTCATCGAAACCCCCAGACATGCGTGACTGCATTCTTTGAACCTGTTTTTCACATGCATGGTCTGCAGTTCTTTGTATTTTTTAAACAGAGGTATAAGCCCCTCAGCAGCTCTGAAATTCAGCCTCAATATGCATGGTATTAATTGATGTAGTTTTTCACTGTTGGTATTACAAAGGTTTAGTGACATGATAAACCTTGGGACATGTTTGTCTTCAATTCAGGAGAATATGGATGTTGTGTAACATGTTTTTGTGAGTGTTTTGAGATCCTGGATGTGATGGTTTAGTTAGAAAACCCACCTCTGCAGGCTGAAAATACCTTCTCCTTTTTTTTCCCTCTTTCTTTTAGTCCTCTGCAATTGAATCAGCAAAAATTACAGCTTTTAAACTGGCTCTGAAGAAAGAGTAGGAGCTCAGCTTTGGCGAGGGAGTCTGCATCTCTCTGGGTAAATGACAAATGATTCACTAATTCTGTAAAGCAAGGTGTATAAATTTTCATGTTTTTTAAAACATATTAACTGTTGTAAAGTTTGTAAATACCTTTTTAAAATAAATGTAGTTTTTATGAGTGAACGAGTAAAAAAAGAGCATGTAAAAGTCTTTCGTGCATGGACTACTGAAGTGTGAGTGGAATTACATTCAAACGGTAAGTTTATTCTTGATTTTTAATGAAGTTTTATTCCTGTTTTATCCAGAGTGAGATCAGACAGTGCCTGTGTCCCAGCGTTGTCTGTACATGTGGAACAAATGCTGTCACATCCAAGTTTTCATTGCAGGACACAAAGCAGACCTGAGTCCCCACCACTGGGCATAGAACACGTTCTCCTTTACATATAAGCTAATAATTTTCACAACAATTATCTTCTACCATTAAATGCAAGTTCAGAGTATTTATTCACATAACGCAATCGAAGCAAAGGCCATTTGAAGAGGAATTGATTTTAACGTAGCTTTGAAATTTTATTCTGGGTCCATTGTTCCATTTGGCTTTGTTGGGTTTAAATCTTCTTTCGTCTGGCTTCTCCTTCCAGCAGACTTTCCTGTAAACACACATCGTACACTTCTTTAAAGAGAAGAAATAACTTTGATGATGGAATTTTAAAGCCTGGTCAGATGCTAAAATAGTCATAGTGTGGTCTCCATTGGAAGGAGGATTAGAATGATATAAATCTGACCCGACACGATCTCTCTGCCACCTGCCCATGGGTCTGATCGTAGGGGATAATGTAACTGACACTTATAATGGCCCTTTTCATCCCAAAGTCCGTGACCAACTGTACATCTGTTAATGGCCCCACCACTGCAGCGGGGCCTGGAGCACAACCCAGCAGCTGTTGGGCACTGCCCTTCGACAGCAGTTTGGGACGAGCAGCATGAACTTGCACAAAGAGTCAGTATGAGATGGAATGACTCCCCGAGCTTGAACAGTTGGCCAAGAGACCAGGGACCAGAACATTGTGCTTGCAGAAGTGTTACAGGGGTGTCATGGAGTAGCACAGTTGCTCTGTTAGTGTTCTCTGTATATCTTAGTACCATTGGAATGGAAACAGCGTTCCTGGGTCACATCCTGCTGGATCAGATCTCCTACTTGAATATTTATTTATGTTCTTACCTCAGAGTTGCAAGTCTGAGGTGTTTTGGATAGATGTGCTGTCTGAATATGTTCTTTTTTTTCCCTTCCATGTCTTAGCTAGGTGTATTTCTGTTTGTGCTCACTACCAGCTTCTCCAGGAAATGATGAAGATAATTTGAAAAGTTTTTCCGTGGGGTGGACCATTGCCAGACACCTCCCCTTTCATGGCATAATATTCCTGTAGCAACTCCAGGAATGAGTTACGTTGGAAAAGCTGCATCTGGAAACAGTTTAATTTGTTTTCAATGTCATTAAGCAGCTAGAAATGGGAAGGCCACATAGTTCAGACTATGCTACAGGAATAAGTCATGCAAACTAAGTGTTTGGTGCAGAGTCTTAGAAGTTTTTACACTTACGTGCAAGATTACCAGCAGTTTCTGAGCCAAGCTAAGAGTCTGATTTTGGGGGGGTGCCTCGAGCTCTGCAAAGAAAGGCCAAGTTGCCCTCAGTGAGCAAGAAGTATCAAGGACTCATTTCAAATACCCTGATAATTATTCTTGTGCTTTTCCTGCCTAAAATAGTAAAAAAAAAAAAGTCTAAACATATTAAGTTACTGTTGCTGGCTCTTTGTTCTGCAAGTTAGTGCTGTTGGAAGCCAGAGTCATGAACAAAGACTCCATTTTATGTTCAGTACAAATAGGATTAAAGATGACCTAAAAAAATTAATTTTTAGGTAGTTTTGTTAGTTTCTGCATAAAGATCCATGGAAGTCAGGCTCTGACCTGCCTGCAGTGCTGTTACTGATGTTTAGAGCCGGGTTCCTCAGCGGAAGGCTGGAGTAAGTACTTGAAACTTTGGTCTTGGCTTCCAAAATGAAGTAGAGATTGAGTGTTTCAACTTCTAGGACAGCACAGAGATGCTCCCCAGAAAGTGGTGACCATCTGGTCTAGATCAAGGTGTTACTATATTAATTCAAGAGCACATTTTTTGCTTGAGAGTATTCTTTCTGTGGCAGCGAGTTTGTGTGTGAAGTCTCTGCTGTCACTGCATTAGAGCATCTAATGGAAAATACATTTCCCAGTCTGGGGACCTTGGGAGCAGCAGCTTCCATATGGCTCCATCCTTCAGCTGGCAAAGTGCACCTTTGAAGTTAAGCATCTGTGAATGCTGCACAGATTTGTATTAAGGTAGAATGTATTTGACTTTATTTGGTATTTAATTTAGAGAGTAATGACATTGCTGCAACGGGAGCACAAGAATAACGTAGCCCTGTGCTGGGGCTGTGACTCTGAGGTACCTGAGATAGGGCAGAGCCAGTATTGCCACGTGTGAACTAAACTTACATGCCTCTTCCTCCTCCTCCTCCACCTTTTTTCTCTTCTATGTACATTCCCAGCCTGGACTGGTCCCCTAATTTTCCCATAGTGATAAAAGAAAAGGCATATTACTTACCATGGCTTCCTTCAGCTCCCTGAACCTGGAGTGCTGGTCCGAGCTTGGGCATCCAGTCTTCTCCACTTCTCCTGACTTCTCCATTTCACTTGTGATCTGAATTGGGAAGCAATAGAGCTTCGTGAAAGGGGATTTTGCTGCTAAAGCAGCTCTACCCCAGTACAGGTGAAGATGAAACTCTCTCCTGGGTGCTGTGCTTGTGCTACAGCAAACTTAAACTCAGGAGGCCAGAATGACTGTTATGAGGGACTGCACATGAAGTGTTAGGAAGGATGGGAAACCCACTGGTGGACGGGACCTTCCAATCTGCTTTGTCATTTAATTGCTTGCCATCTAATTGGTTACCACAAGACAGCTGCCCATTGGCACATTCCATAGAGTGGAGGAATGTTGTCAGGAAACAGCCCGTCTGAGTCTTGGCTGGAATTTCAGGAGAGGGTGAAACCAGGTTTAACCTGGAGCTCAAACATCCATCTCTCCTTCAGAGCAGCTGCCCAAGGGCTCTCTCTGTATCCATCTCTCCTTCAGAGCAGCTGCCCAAGCTCTTTATGCAGGGCTTTCTCTGCTCTTTATGCAGGGCTTTCAGATGTCATCTTAGAGTCACAGAATGGTTAGAGTTGGAAGAGACCTTAAAGATCATCGTGTTCCAACCCCCCTGCTCTGGGATGGACACCTCCCACCAGCCCAGGTTGCTCCAAGCCCCCTCCAACCTGCCCTTGAAACCCTCCAGGGATGGGGCAGCCACAGCTTCTCGGGGCAACCTGGGCCAGGCTCTCACCACCCTCACAGCAAAGAATTTTTTTCTAGTTTCTAACCTAAATCTCCCCTCTTCCAATTTAAAACCATTCCCCCTCATCCTATCGCTACATTCCCTGATAAAGGGTCCCTCCCCATCTCTCCTGTGGCCCCTTCAGATATTAGAAGGCTGCTCTAAGGTCTCCCTGGAGACTTCTCCAGGCTGAACAACCCCAGCTCTCTCAGCCTGTCCTCACAGTAGAGCTGCTCCAGCCTTCTGATCATTTTCTTACCCCAATGCCAATTGTTTTCCAATTACTACTTTTAAAAAAAAAGTGTGTGTGTGTACATAGGTATGTTTGGGGGGGTGGAAGAGAGAGAGAGAGAGACATATACAGTAGAGCCTACATCATCTCTTTTTTGCTTGCATCTTTTCCAGATAAGGGAGCTAAGATAAAACAGCAGGGTAGGTTTATGGTCTAGGACCTACCTCTTGAAATGATTCTACTGGGCTCTCGGCGTTCCTTTTTCCTCCCGGCTGGAGGCCGTAAGACCAGTGTTGGGCCAAGCAGATTTCCACAGACATGACAAACAGGAGGACACCGAAAAAGATCTTCCTGGACTTCTCCATCCTGTGAGAGAACAAAACATCTTTCTGATCATAATGACGTTACAGCTCCCTTTTTATCTTGTAGAGTTACGAAAATGTTATGTTTCTGAATCTCCAGTTCTGATCTCCTGCACCACGGCAGCATTGTGCCTGTGTGGGAGCCACAGCTGGATTTTGAGCCTCTCAAAAGTGTAGATGAAGCTCATTATAAAGAGATTTAACATCTGAAAAATTTGGATGAAGATCTAAATTAGGATTTTTGAACACCCTTTCAACATTTTAGGAATGTCTGGACCTCGGAGGTCCAGAAAGTCCCTGTTGATATTTGACAGATGTGTTCAGTTTAGCTGGTTTCTGTTCTAATGTCCCTGCTCCTTAAGAAGTGCTCTGTGCAGCCTCTTCTAATGCGAGTTTCTTCTAATTCAAGCATCTGTAAGCACTGAATAAGTAAAAAGGGAATATGGTGTGTTGTTCCAGCACATTACCTGCTTGTGAGAGCTGCTGCAGAATAACTTCAACTCTTCTCTGGCTGGAAATGTCCTGCGAGGGTTTGTCATCTCACTTTTTATATACAACCAGCCCAACACCAAACCTCTCACAGCAGGTAACTTTATCTGAGTCTATCTCGCAGGCTGCAATTTTGTTCTTAAAATTGCTGTAATGCAGCAGAGGTAAAGCCCATAATTGGAACACCCCTGGTGTCGCTATTAAATTCAGCTGTTTTTTCTAAGACCCATAAAAGTAACAGCCTTTCTTTTAAGAGGCTGTAAATCCGACGTTCAAACCTGGTCGACTGCTGTTGCCCTGTGGAAAAAACACAGCCTTTTCTTCCAGTGACTTCGAATTTTTAAGTAAAAGTTCTCTGGCGAGTTTGAGTTTGTTGAGAGTTGAAATGGATGAGGAATTCAGCTTGGGCTCTGTCTCTCGGGCATGAAGGAAGCCAAACATAAACAAGAGCCTGTGATGGCACAAGTGCAGGGAGCATTTTGTGTGCTCCTTTCAGAGTCCCCCTCCTTAGTGTTTAATTTAAAGTGCCTTGATATTCTTTGCTCTATAAAATGCAAAGTAGTAGTAATTAGACTCTAAACTTGCTTTGTTGTCACGATGGAGTCTGTTTTATGAATGAGGCTCGTGAACACTGCTGTTATTTTGGATTTATATGTGTGTGTGTGCCTATGAATGCAAGTTCTCCCTTCTTGAGAGTTTATGCACTGCAGTTTTATAAAGAAGTTGATAGCTATTTGCATGCAGGAGTTAAATTCAGTAATTTAGACTACAGAAATCTAATTTTTTTTTTATCCACCTGGCAGCTATTTTCACTTGCTCTGCACTGGTTTGCGTGCAATTGAATGTATTGTGTTCAGTGATCTTCAAACATCCTCCCTTCCTGCTCCCAGAACCTCTTTGAGATTAATGGATTAAAAGTAATTTAATAAGTAAATAATTTAAGGAGGATTTAGTGACTCTAGCAAAGAGTAATCCTTCCTGCTCTAATGCTCCTCCCACTCATGGTGAGAGTAGCCAACACTTCTCTTTGGCTGATAAATGGATCAAGCTGTGAAAATAGTTAGTTTTGGTGGGAGAAGTGGTACCTGGGCCGTAGGCGCAAGATTTTCCAGTATTGGTGTTTTACGCCTCCTTCCTTCCCTGATGAGCCCAGCAAAAATTAAGGTTACTTAGAGATAAATAGAAGACTTTGTTCATCCTGAGGGATGATGTTTGAAGAGAGAAGGGGGCCTGCTTAGCCCAATAATTGCACCTTTTATCAACCCAATGCTTTAAACTAGCCCTTAATGACATCCAACCCTTAATAACACCCAACCCTTAACGACACCCAACCCCTAACATCTTTCAGCTGCCATTTCCAGAGCCCAGCAGAAAGGGCACGCGACTGTGGGTTCAGGGAGCCCTTCCATGGCTTCTCCTACACTCTAAGCCACAGCCCTACCTTACGGGAAGGAGTTGGGAGGTTAAAAGAAAAAGTTTACAGCTGGTTTTGTTTGCCCACAAATAACTTTCACAGGCCCGTGTAACCAAACCCAACCCAAACTCTGGTTTTGGCAGAGTCTGAGCCAGGTCTGGGAGCGCTTTGGTCGGGGCTTGTTGGGCAGGTGACAGCTTTGGGGGCTCAAAATCAAAGTGAAGGTGGGGTTTTATGGTGTGACCTCCCTTTTGTTTTCAGACACTTTTCAGAAGAGCTCCCAGATCTTCAAGTGCACTAGTTTTTCTGGTTTGGGGGGAGAAATCTTAATGCCTTCCAATGCTGTTCAGGATCTACCTGGAAGTCTAGGACTTGTCAGGAAGACGCAGATTTGTGGATTCCCATCCCAAGAATCAAGACCTCTCTCTTATCAGACGTGGTGGAGAGGGATACCCTGATCTGTTGGGTCTCCTGGGCTTTTCAGACAGCGTTCCTAACCCAAAGAAGTATTCTGGAGGTGAGAAACCATATTTTTTTCCCCAGTTTTGTTCTCAAGGAGCTGTACAGCACTTCCACAGACGTGCTCTATTTGTGGTACCACTGTTGTGCCAGGGTTTATGAGACTGAAATCATGAGCACTTTATAGACCAAAGTCTTTTGGGTTTTTTTTTCTGTGCTTTAGCACTTCCTTTTTAAGGAAGTGGAGCTGCTTGTGCTGTGTGATGATTATCTCTAATGTGGAAAGAGTGTTTTAAATAGTGCACATACCTATGTAAATTGTGGTTAATGACTTCTGACTCCAGCTATTTTATTAAGCAATATGAAGGGTGGGGGCCAAAGAAAAACCGAAACGCTGCAGATGAATGACAAGTCAAAAACCCCACCAAAGTTCTCAGAGTGTCTCCAAGGTGACAGGGGCTCGGGAAGGGCTAAACCAGCTTTTAGCAACAGTATTTTTAAGTTTGTATACAAGGAGCTATCAAAGTTAAAATGCTTTTCTAACTTGCTGCCCTTCCCACAGAAGTCAGATAAGATTGAGATCCATTTTTTAAAATTAAGACAACCAAGACCACTCGTATTTCACACTTTTATTAATGTAATTTAAATTAGGCTGGAACCTGCAATTTCTGAATAGGCCACTTTGGGCTATTCGTACAGCTTTGTCATAGCAAAAGAGGTACCTTAAATTCACCTGTGAATGAATGATGCCACGTGCTGTGATTATTCAAAACATAGTGCTTCAGTGAAAGTTCAAATATATTTTATACACAGTGATTATGAAAATAGATATTTTTTCCATACAATATTTTACTTCTGCCAGCTACAAAATATGGTAAAGAAAAATAATTCATTTATTTCTCTAGCCCTAGGAATCTTCTTCTACTGCAACATACACACCACTCTCCATGAAAGCGATGAGGTGGGAGAAAGGACTCCAAAATCACACTGAAATATTATTTCCCTTGAATCTCTAGGTGTATTTCACCAAGTGTTGTCCTAGAGCCAGATCAAGAGGCCTGGGAATCTGGAGGAAATAGAATCCCAATTCTGAACCACACAGAGGTGGGATTTTGAGTCCTGGAAGTTCATGTCATGCTCCGGAGTCAAGCCAACTCGAAAATAAAGAGAATCCTGCAATTCCCCCTTAACAAATCATACACTGGTCCTGAACTAATCTTTCTAGATTGATGGCAAAGCAGCATTTTGGTAACAAATACTGAGCCTAGACTGGAAATCTGCACTCGCAGACACCCCACTGAAGTAACTGTAGGACTCAAACCACCGCTGACAGCGTCACAGCCTGTCAGTTTTAGGATACATTGGTTCTCAACTTCCAGAAATAGCTGTTATTTCCTTAGATTCAAGGTTAGTTTTAACTTTGGGGTATTTTTAGTAAGCATCTGAGGTAAGAGTTCTTGATGCACCTTTATTATTTTTTTTTTTGGTATCGTTTCTTCATGTGCTTGTTGATTGTGTCTAAAATAAATGTTTTGTTAGATGAGAACTAGATCGATACTACAGTGGAAACAGCTCCTGAAACAAAGTGCACCACCACTCAGAGAGATGCTGCGAGGGCTTTCTGCGCCGCAGAAGTCCCAGAGGTCCCTACTTGCTCACAGGTAAAGCAGCTGTAGGACGGGCACTTTGCCCTGTCCCAGACACTTCTACACTCACTTTCAGCAGGCCCAAAGTGGAATACTAAAATCTGGCTGGGAGAAGGATTATGCTTTCAAGAAATTCAGTGTACGAGAGTATTTGCATAGTACATGGAGGGGAAACAGGTGCCATTTATTCATATACTGGAGTAACGACAGGAGGACGCAGGATGTGCTGTGGCCCCAGCTCTACTTTGGTGACAGTATTGTATTTTCCTACATACATTTGCTGCGAGGGCTTTCTGCGCCGCAGAAGTCCCAGAGGTCCCTACTTGCTCACAGGTAAAGCAGCTGTAGGACGGGCACTTTGCCCTGTCCCAGACACTTCTACACTCACTTTCAGCAGGCCCAAAGTGGAATACTAAAATCTGGCTGGGAGAAGGATTATGCTTTCAAGAAATTCAGTGTACGAGAGTATTTGCATAGTACATGGAGGGGAAACAGGTGCCATTTATTCATATACTGGAGTAACGACAGGAGGACGCAGGATGTGCTGTGGCCCCAGCTCTACTTTGGTGACAGTATTGTATTTTCCTACATACATTTAATTCCCCACAACAAATGGAAAAAAAAAACAATTACAGGTACTCCAGTTTGGAGTGGTGAGGACATCTGAAAGCACGAGAGGTTTTCTGACCAGCTGTGACTGATTGATAGTGCAATTTCACACTAATTTGGAAAGGATTAAGTAAGACATCCAGTTTCTGAACAGGGCTGGTTTAGCTCTAACTACATCTGCTGTGTGTGCAGATCCCTTCAGTGGAAAAAGCAGCTTTCACTGGACATTTTAAGAAGATGATAAAGCTGTTCTACACCTGCATTCAAACTACTACAAGGCAATATATTACCTACGATGACAGTTGATGACTGTTTTCACCCCAGAAGCAGAGAGTACCTGAAAACACCCCGTGGACATGGGCTAAACCACATCTGTCAATACGCTGTGCGTGAACGAAGACACTCACCGTGACTACACCAGTCTAACTGTAAACCTGAACTTTGTTGCTACTAGACAGGAATAACATTTTTCATATTGCAGCTACAGATTTAATAAATAAATTGCATATATTGTGCTTTATAAATTAAAATGCATTCCAAAGTGAGGCAATGCTAAACGATGAATCTATTTAACCGTCCCAAACTGGCCACTCATTCTGGTTCCAGAACCAGCCCCCTTCCTCACTCAGCTCACAAAGGCAGAAACAGTGTCTGCTTCTGCCTCTTAAACAAAAGCTCCCTCCCCCAAAAGTGATCAAAAAAGAGTTTACTTAGGCACTACCGCAAATGTAAGTTGTCTAATAACCATTACTTCTAACTTAATAAGGGGAGGAGGTGAAGAAAGTCACAACGAACGTTTTGATTCCTTCCTCTTCAGCGTATTCTTCTCCCTATCTGACGCTCTGAGACATGTGCAAAGGTGTCAGCATCTCTTCAAAGATAGCTCCTTTTACATTAGATCCCCTCAAATTAGCTTCTTGTAGATCACAACCTGATAGATCACAATTCTAAAGGGTAAAAGAAAAATAAAGGTTAATTGAATAGACCCAGAACTTAGTTCAAAAACTTAACCTTAACTCTATTTGTAGAGAAACCTCAATTCCCTCCATTACTTCTAACTTAATAAGGGGAGGAGGTGAAGAAAGTCACAACGAACGTTTTGATTCCTTCCTCTTCAGCGTATTCTTCTCCCTATCTGACGCTCTGAGACATGTGCAAAGGTGTCAGCATCTCTTCAAAGATAGCTCCTTTTACATTAGATCCCCTCAAATTAGCTTCTTGTAGATCACAACCTGATAGATCACAATTCTAAAGGGTAAAAGAAAAATAAAGGTTAATTGAATAGACCCAGAACTTAGTTCAGAAACTTTACCTTAACTCTATTTGTAGAGAAACCACAATTACCTCCGCAAATCCTGGTGCAAACTTCTAGGCTATCACTCTTGTTTAGAGTTTTAATTATTTCTGGTGAGAGAGCAGTTCCTTTTCACTGTTACAGCTGGATTATTTTGCTGTTGTTAGACTTACACTGTTTATATCACATTATCTTCCAGGAGTTACTAACTCTTGCTGAGCAAAGCCAGGAAGACGCCACCTCTTGCAAACTCACCAGGTGTTACTCCAAATACTTCTCTAGTACTTGAGGAAGAACAGCCACGTACACAGCTTGCAAAATGAGCTACTTTGTCTTCTAATTAATAGACACAGCGGTGTACCACGTGCCACCAGTCAGGTAAGATTCCATTGTTTCTCTATACATGATGTCCCAGGATCAAAACCCCCCCACAAACCCAGGTGACTGCATTTCCCTTCAGTGACGGCACGATCTCATCCTAAGAGTTAAGTTTAATCTTATTTCCATTCATCACTTTTGAGATGAAACAAGCCATTTCGGTGTCTTTGAGGGGCTGGCAAATCCCAAAATTTAGACTCACCTTCCACACTGAGGCCAGAATGAAATGTGATTCCTCAGATCACCCATTGCTCATTAAGACTGAAAAAACACTAATTCACTCTGTCTAGTTTGAAGCTGGAGAACTCAGCCAAAAGCCAGCAATCCCCAAAATTTTACGAGTTGACTAGTTAGTATTTAGAATGAATCATAACTCACTTCCAAATCAGTTCCTGCCAAAGTTGCTCCTCTAAGATTACAGTTTTTTAGTTTTGCATTTTTCAGCGTCGCGACTCTTAGATTAATTCCTGTCATTTGACTGCCTTCCATGTCAACACCTTTCAGGTTAGCACCTAAAACACACAAAGAGTAGTTTTATGAGGAAAAACCATCGGAAACAACAGCAGCTCAAGAATGATGCTTCCTCAGAGCCATGTAAATTGATAGAGGTCAAGGTAGAACTTGGAATTTAATGATCGCACAGTCGCGCACACTAGTATTTGTGGCCTTTTCTCCCGTGGACTGTACAAACCTCAGCTAAACCTCTCACAGATTTACAAACACGTGGTTCAGTTTCCACAGGGTACCTAACACCAAAGCTTCTTACCTTCCAAATTAGCTTTAAGGCCTGATGGATCTTCAAAATTGCACCCTTTCAGAGATGCTCCTTCTGCGTTGGAGCAAAGCATCTTTACCCCTTGGAGGTTCGCACACTGATGGAGACAGACATGTCAGTGAGAGTCATCAAAAAGATGAACAATACCAAAAATGACCAGAGTATGGTTTTCATCTCTGTTTCAGAAGTGAATCCTATTAAAGCACAACAGCCTTGTTACTGTGAAGAAGTGTAAAAACCTTTTGCTGTTGTTAGACTTACACTGTTTATATCACATTATCTTCCAGGAGTTACTAACTCTTGCTGAGCAAAGCCAGGAAGACGCCACCTCTTGCAAACTCACCAGATATTACTCCAAATACTTCTCTAGTACTTGAGGAAGAACAGCCACGTACACAGCTTGCAAAATGAGCTACTTTGTCTTTCTAATTAATAGACACAGCGGCGTATCACGTGCCACCAGGCAGGTAAGATTCCATTGTTTCTCTACACATGATGTCCCAGGATCAAAGAACCCCCCCACAAACCCAGGTGACTGCATTTCCCTTCAGCGAGGGAACGATCTCATCCTAAGAGTTAAGTTTAATCTTATTTCTATTCATCACTTTTGAGATGAAACAAGCCATTTCGGTGTCTTTGAGGGGCTGGCAAATCCCAAAATTTAGACTCACCTTCCACACTGAGGCCAGAATGAAATGTGATTCCTCAGATCACCCATTGCTCATTAAGACTGAAAAAACACTAATTCACTCTGTCTAGTTTGAAGCTGGAGAACTCAGCCAAAAGCCAGCAATCCCCAAAATTTTACGAGTTGACTAGTTAGTATTTAGAATGAATCATAACTCACTTCCAAATCAGTTCCTGCCAAAGTTGCTCCTCTAAGATTACAGTTTTTTAGTTTTGCATTTTTCAGCGTCGCGACTCTTAGATTAATTCCTGTCATTTGACTGCCTTCCATGTCAACACCTTTCAGGTTAGCACCTAAAACACACAAAGAGTAGTTTTATGAGGAAAAACCATCGGAAACAACAGCAGCTCAAGAATGATGCTTCCTCAGAGCCATGTAAATTGATAGAGGTCAAGGTAGAACTTGGAATTTAATGATCGCACAGTCGCGCACACTAGTATTTGTGGCCTTTTCTCCCGTGGACTGTACAAACCTCAGCTAAACCTCTCACAGATTTACAAACACGTGGTTCAGTTTCCACAGGGTACCTAACACCAAAGCTTCTTACCTTCCAAATTAGCTTTAAGGCCTGATGGATCTTCAAAATTGCACCCTTTCAGAGATGCTCCTTCTGCGTTGGAGCAAAGCATCTTTACCCCTTGGAGGTTCGCACACTGATGGAGACAGACATGTCAGTGAGAGTCATCAAAAAGATGAACAATACCAAAAATGACCAGAGTATGGTTTTCATCTCTGTTTCAGAAGTGAATCCTATTAAAGCACAACAGCCTTGTTACTGTGAAGAAGTGTAAAAACCTGCCATAAAATTACTTCTCTTATCAGGAAGGCAGGTAATTCTCACCCACCGCCCTCTTTTTTTTTATTATTATTTTTAACTTAAGATAGTTTCAAAAAGCTTTTGAAGTGATCTAACCAGAACAATTGCAGAAAACATTGAAGAACTACATGTTTTACACTCCTCTGTCCTGGTGCAAACTTCTAGGCTATCACTCTTGTTTAGAGTTTTAATTATTTCTGGTGAGAGAGCAGTTCCTTTTCACTGTTACAGCTGGATTATTTTGCTGTTGTTAGACTTACACTGTTTATATCACATTATCTTCCAGGAGTTACTAACTCTTGCTGAGCAAAGCCAGGAAGACGCCACCTCTTGCAAACTCACCAGGTGTTACTCCAAATACTTCTCTAGTACTTGAGGAAGAACAGCCACGTACACAGCTTGCAAAATGAGCTACTTTGTCTTCTAATTAATAGACACAGCGGTGTACCACGTGCCACCAGTCAGGTAAGATTCCATTGTTTCTCTATACATGATGTCCCAGGATCAAAACCCCCCCACAAACCCAGGTGACTGCATTTCCCTTCAGTGACGGCACGATCTCATCCTAAGAGTTAAGTTTAATCTTATTTCCATTCATCACTTTTGAGATGAAACAAGCCATTTCGGTGTCTTTGAGGGGCTGGCAAATCCCAAAATTTAGACTCACCTTCCACACTGAGGCCAGAATGAAATGTGATTCCTCAGATCACCCATTGCTCATTAAGACTGAAAAAACACTAATTCACTCTGTCTAGTTTGAAGCTGGAGAACTCAGCCAAAAGCCAGCAATCCCCAAAATTTTACGAGTTGACTAGTTAGTATTTAGAATGAATCATAACTCACTTCCAAATCAGTTCCTGCCAAAGTTGCTCCTCTAAGATTACAGTTTTTTAGTTTTGCATTTTTCAGCGTCGCGACTCTTAGATTAATTCCTGTCATTTGACTGCCTTCCATGTCAACACCTTTCAGGTTAGCACCTAAAACACACAAAGAGTAGTTTTATGAGGAAAAACCATCGGAAACAACAGCAGCTCAAGAATGATGCTTCCTCAGAGCCATGTAAATTGATAGAGGTCAAGGTAGAACTTGGAATTTAATGATCGCACAGTCGCGCACACTAGTATTTGTGGCCTTTTCTCCCGTGGACTGTACAAACCTCAGCTAAACCTCTCACAGATTTACAAACACGTGGTTCAGTTTCCACAGGGTACCTAACACCAAAGCTTCTTACCTTCCAAATTAGCTTTAAGGCCTGATGGATCTTCAAAATTGCACCCTTTCAGAGATGCTCCTTCTGCGTTGGAGCAAAGCATCTTTACCCCTTGGAGGTTCGCACACTGATGGAGACAGACATGTCAGTGAGAGCCATAAAAAAGATGAACAATACCAAAAATGATGAGTATGGTTTTCATCTCTGTTTCAGAAGGGAATCCTATTAAAGCACAACAGCCTTGTTACTGTGAAGACACGTAAAAACCTGCTATAAAATTACTTGTCATCAGGAATTCTCACCCACCGCCCTCTTTTTTTTATTATTTTTAACTTAAGGTAGTTTCAAAAAGCTTTTGAAGTGATCTAACCAGAACAATTGCAGAAAACATTGAAGAACTACATGTTTTACACTCCTCTGCTTGTTCCAATTCCTCTTCCCTTAAAACAGCTAAAGGACAGCCCAGACTTTCCGAGGCGCAGCAGCTCTTACGTCAAGCACTGATCCAGAGAGGTCAGCTCGTTCCAGGTTGGCGCAGCACAGGTTGGCGTGGGCCAGGTTGCAGCGGCTCAGGTTGGCCATCTTGAAGTTTATGTAGCGAAGATCTAGACGTGAAAGATCCGCCCCGCTGAAATTGAGACCCTAAAAATGAAATAAAAAACCATCAGAAGTTACAGAAGGTAAGGTGTAGCTCCGAATCACAGAATCTTCTAGGTTGGAAGGGACCTTAAAGATCATCTTGTCCAACCGTCAACCCAACTGACAAAAATAGACACCCACACAACAAACAAGGAGCATCATCACTAAACCCTATCTCCCAGCACTACATCAACCCGGCTTTTGAACACCTCCAGGGATGGGGCCTCAACCACCTCCCTGGGCAGCCCATTCCAATGCCTGAGAACCCTTTCAGTGAAAAAATTTTTCCTAATATCCAGCCTGAACCTCCCCTGGCGCAACTTGAGGCCATTTCCTCTTGTCCTGTCGTCTGGGACTTGAGAAAAGAGACCGACCCCCATCTCTCTACACCCTCCTTTCAGGGAGTTGGAGAGAGCAATAAGGTCTCCCCTCAGCCTCCTCTTCTCCAGGCTGAACACCCCCAGCTCCCTCAGCCTCTCCTCATCAGACTTATTCTCCAGACCCCTCACCAGCTTTGTCGCCCTTCTCTGGACCCGCTCCAGCACCTCAATGTCTTTTTTATGGTAGGGGGCCCAAAACTGGACACAGTACTCAAGGTGAGTACAGTACTCAAAACACTTAAGAGCATCATGTATGTGTCTATATAAATACACACAGTTATAGATATATACTCATGCACAAGACCATCTATTCTACTATGTAAGACTCATGAAATGTAAATGCAAAGCTACCAAGCATCGTCCTTGGTTACTCTACTCATTTTACATTTAAATAGAATGGCTTAACAAATTGAGCCTTGTGGAAACCTTCAACCTCAAGAAGGAAAGCAGCCCCCACAGCGCACTTAAATTTCATGTTAAGGTCACTCTGCCCCAACTTGGAATGAAAACTCAGTGAATAAGCAAGGGGGGAAGCACACGTCATTTGAATTTCATGTTGTCGCGTGATGCTGCAGGATATTTCCCCACCAGATGCTACAGCTCAAGACAAACTCTGGATTTTCATACCTGACATCGCAGCTCAGACTTGGTTGGGGTCGCCAGGAGGAATCGGACAAACTCCTTTCGAGATATAGGAGAGTGGTCCTCAGCTGGCTGGGAGTTCTGTGGAGAGAGTTGTTCAAAAGCTAACACGGACAGGACTCAATTATGCATTGCCTGGAAGAATGGGACACGTGCATTCATGTATTAAAGAAAACAAGTTACCTTAATAGCTATCTCGAGATGTTCAATTAGTGAATCGATACCAAAAAACCTGGCTTCTTCCAAAACACCTAACAAAACAAAGCAGTATTTGTTATTTCCAGGGAGTCGTTAAACAAGAGAGCAGCACTCTTCTTCCCGTACTGGAGAAGGCACCAAGAACATGCCAAAATCTTTGGGTTAATCCATCCTTACTACTGGAGGAGCTTCAATTCAATCAACTTTCCCTACTTGTTAGACATTTTACACATTTTAGCTACGATGAACAGATCACTTGTTGAAGTTTAAGGACTCAAAGAAACGCATAAAGTAATAAAAGTGACACAGACATACATTATATCAGAGGTAACTGGACAGAGGAAAAGTGAGTTTGCTTGCAGCTAAAAGGAAAAAAATAAATCAGAAAGGATGTTTCCAGTACCAGTATTAGGTTAAAGATACCAAATCCAGAATTACAGCCAGATACTAATCCAGTGCAGAGAAATTTTAATGCTCTGAAGATTAAGTTTAAACAGTGTATCTTCATAAAGCAAGCATATAGAATTGCAGTGTTTGAGAATAAATTCACCAAAGAAAAGTCCCGAACATTCAGATGAGCATATAGAAGTCCCACTGACTTTACTGTGTTTACCTGAGGGCAAATTTTAACTTCTAAAGAGTAATAATTTAGGAGATGTCATACAGGTAATACCTACCTAGCAAATTAATGCCATCATTTACAATGAGCTGTCCGTGACGCAAATAGTTCAAAATTGGCTCAAAATACTCTGGACTGCGGTCAATTAGGAATGCTCCTCTATGATCTTGCTTATTTCCCCAAGCATCTGTTTCCACAACATATATATATAATTAAATTTGATATATTAATAGAAGAGCATTTGCTTCAGTTTCAGATTTTTACTACCAAAGGGTACTGGATTATGAAACATTCCACTTGAAAGGGAGTTTCTTAGAGAAAAGGAAGGGAAATGAGAGTGAGGGGGTAAAAAAAATCACCTTAAAATAAACTCACTCCTGCTATAATTAAAACATTTTATCACTACCTAGGAATCATTGCTAGAATAAAAACACCATTGAGATGTCAGTCTGCCCCTGTTTCCTAAAGTCTGTCTCGTACAGTGTTTGCCCATTGACTCTGTTGACAAAACTGAGCAAGATGCAACAATAAGATGAAAATCTAAAGATCAAACAAACAAAAATGACCCCAAAATATTAACTATGGATGGAAGTTATATTTTCAGTTTGTGAGATGATACGTGTTACATGGGCAACAGAAGAATACACAATTATTAAAAAAAAAAGTTATACATTCTGCTTTGTTACTTTAGGTACTTTTGATATTTTAACGTAGGAACAAAAGTCTCAACTTGACAGTGCCTTTTGCCTACTGTGCTAATTTGTTAGCTTAAAAAATAAAGTTGATTTCAATATACTAACCTTTATCTTTAAACATGTGGGCCAACATACTGTCAGGTTCTTTATTAACCAAAGTGCTCCTAGAAAACAAAAGCAGCACAATTTTATCTTTAGCTGGAATGTTTTCCTCAAGAGACAAACCTGCTCTTGGAGTCTGTTTCCTGCCCGTGGTGCGTGAGGCGCATTCCAACAGCTACTCCGTACCCATTTCATTTCATAGGCTGTGACAGCAAAGTATGTTTCTGACCTGAGGTACTGTAAAGGTATTTTAAATACAAAGCACTTAGTTAAATGAAATATTCCAAGGATATTCCAGGCCTGTTCAGTTTTTTTGCCAATTTGACTTTGCGTGTAAACTAAGAATTGATTTGTTGCAAAACTGTCGCAGCAAATACGAAATACAGAGAAAGCTGCACAAGTCAAAGACCTCCTACTCCACGGGAAGTTATTTTACTATCTCCTTTGCAAGAGTATCTGAAGCCTCCCCAACTGAGGACATTGTAACTACTTTACTGAAATCAAGTCCTTTAAGAACAAAACCAACTGGCTGCATTTGTACCGTGTAGTGGTGAAGTATCGGCCTCCGACATTGAGCGTCAACCAGTCAGTGTGGGAGCCTGTTAGCTCCTCGTGAGGTCTCCCGTCCGTCTGGGGATCTGCACAGATGACAAACACACAGGAATTATCAGAAAAATTCTGAGTATTTCTGAGTCCTCCATATGGTAAGAGGTATCTTCTGAAACTACCAGAAAATAAAATTTTAGATTTACAT